TTCTGCAATCTAATTGGAGCACTGGCTTGGACTCTGAAGTGTAGTGGTAATATTGAAGCATTACTCATACGGAAAGGCACTGATCAGATCGCTTTGATACTGTCTAGGTCTGCGTGTACAGAAACATGAGAAGTAAATAGCAGATCTGGAGGTGCTGATGATGACAAATAATTCCAATATTTTTATTCATTACAGAGAGGAACTCAGAGTCTTATGTATCTCTATTGATCTATAGTGTGTGTGTGTGTGTGTGTGTGTGTGTGTGTGTGTGTGTGTGCCATTAGTTCATTGGTTGCTTGGGAAAAGTATGCAGGCTGCTGTAATGGACAAAGCGCTTGGCAATATATTGTTCTGCCTTTCAGGTAGAAGCCATACGTATATGGAGAAAATGCTGTTTTTTGTGTTTCTAATGCCATTTGTCTTCTTGATGTGTGATATTACTTAGCAACTATATTGAGGGGCAGGTGTTTTTCCATCTCAATAATATATCATCTTCAAGCCTGTATTTATCATAACTGAAATTGATTTTCCTTTTTCCTTTCTGTGTAAGAGGCAACAAAGCTCTTCAATGTCTGTAGTCCTATGTTTTCCTTGTCCTTAAACCTGTCTAACTTACAGACTTCATGGCTGTGATGCACTTGATTAATAAATACATTGGTCGGTAGAGCTTAAACTGATGTAGCCAAATTGTCTTTTCTAAAATGATTTTCAATCAATGTCTATGTGTTATACAGTAATTGTATATGCTCAGTTCTGTAAGTTATGTTTGTAATGTTCACATTTTACAGTATAAAATATACAAGAGATTTCCTCCCTTTTCCAGCATTAACTGTCACTCAAAGCAACAGAAAAGCCTTTGTTCCACTGTCCGCCATAACATGTAATTACATGCTTGTATAGCACCTGGACAGGTTGAATAAATATCTAAAGGTACAGTAATTTCTAAGAGAGTTATGTTTGGGAAGAAGAATCCTGAGAAAAATAAAACAAGACACAGAATGGGTCATTTGTTGTAGTAACTTCTGAGATCAAAACAGTCGACATGGTTTTATTGTACTTTTCAATTATATGCTCTTTTAGAAACATGGCTTGTCTTTTATTAATTATTTGAAATTAACACACATAATTGGAAAGAAAAGCGACTTTGGCACTCTCAAATATTTAGAACACAAAGAAATGCTGAAAGATTTTAGTTGTGATACTTTTGTGCATTTATTGCTTCAGAATGAATAAAATATAGGTATTTTTTTTCTATTGTAAATGAACAGTTCCCACCTTGTTAACAGAAAATATCCTCATTACCTCAGAGCTCAAGCTCCCATCAATCTGATCTGTTCAGCACTTTGAACACTTACAAACTACAGTTTTTTTGGTTGAAAAAACACATTTTCTACCTCCAGTTTAGAGTCTGAAACCAAATGAAATTAGACAAGGGTCTATTTCCAATGCATATTTATCATTACAGCAGCCAAGGTGTGAGTGGATACTAATGTAATTGTAATGTATTAAAATGATTTCATTTCATACAGTATTTTACATCATAGAGCTACAGTCTAGGGGTATCTTTCTGACATATCTCTCCCAGACACTCAGTTCAGTGAGATAATTACTATTCTGTTTCCCTTTCATCATGTATCAACTGCCTCTGTGTCAGAGGTTGTTTCACAGACGCTATAACAAGGCTGCTAGGTTTTGAAGGCTCTGTCAATTAGCACCTGAGATGATGGGGGATGGGTAAGACCAGGAAAGTGAAATTAAAACAGAAACGTGTGAAAAGTGAACAAATAAGAACTCTGCATTCACTATACACTATAAGTCTAAGGTATAGCCATTGTGACATTGTACGTAGGATTAAGGGGCAGCACGCAGTGGCTGCTGGATGTAAACCTTAAGCCATGGGTTCAAATTAAGATAAATGTGCAATTTCATATTTCAAATATTATTGTTAGCCTTTGAAAATGTGTGTAAATGACACAGTGGGTGCACATGAAAGGTTGCAGGGTCAAATTGTCACTTTTTCACGATATTGCTAAGCGAAATTTTTCTCGTGTAACCTTCTGAGCGTACTCATGTATGTATGTTCACATTTCTAATACTCACTTTACAGTTTGCTCATTACTGTATGCTCCAGCCAACAGCGTCTCCAGTTTCCCGCCTATACCCATCAGTTATCTCTATGTAAGTGTAAGTCTTGTGTTAAATAACATGCCAACAGAACGCAGCGTGTTCATTTGTCTTTACTACCGCCACAAGTGTAAAATGCTTACGTAAATAAACACCTGGCTGGTAAACTGTTGTATAATTAATGTTACACCTGCTTTCATTTTTCACGCTGTTGCTTTAGACTTTAGATGTTAATGACTTTGGCCTTCATACGGATGAGAATCTGAGGCAGATCTGAAAAACGATGCAATTATTGTAACTAGTTTTAAAGTTGTAGAGACTTGCTGTAGTTGTTTATTAACTGAAGCTTTAAGGATAGAGGTTGTTATTGTGTGGTTTACAGACTGTCAAGCTGTTCAAGGAAAATCTTTGATTAAAATTGACTTGACTATTTTGTTTATTTCAATGTTGGCTCCACAAGTTCGATTTATTAGGAAAGTTAATCCAATATGAGTTTTATTGATTAAAAATCATTTCATGTTAATATCTGTAGTTGTCCATGTTTGGAGACGATGACTCACTCAGACAAAATTAAAATATAGACAAAGGAAAAGTGAAAAGCTCACACTGGTTTTTACACTAGAGGTTGTTACAATATGAGTAGCTCTTGCCACAGGAACCAGCCTGGTGCAGGACAGACCTGAAACAACAAACTGCATTATAAGCATTGTTAGCATCATTATACTTTTGATTTGTGGGTGATTAAGAGACATTGTAAGGGTTTTCATTTCACTCATGGATTTGAAAGTTTTTTTGGATTTAAGTCCTCACCCTGATTACGTCTTATGTAGCTGCTTCCTGGACCACTAGAGGGGAGCGCAGGCACACCTATAATTTTTGTGCGATTTTTATTATGTTTAATTACCCGACTGCTACGATTATTTGTATCGGCGCAATATGAATCATTTAAAGATTTGTTTTATAACATTTATTCCCTTTGTGTAGTTTTTATGAATATTTATTAGTTTCCAGTGAATCAAAATCCACCAACAATTCTGTGTTTTGTTTTTGTTTTTTTTATCATGAATGAATGAGACATGAATTCACAAGAAAAGAAAACAAATTAACAACAGTGACTGCTTTGCCAAACCCTGCAGGCACAGTGTCTGTAGACTCTTTTCAATATACTGTGTTCCAGTACCTGAAGTGGTAATCACTGAACAGCAGTGCACCAAGACCAGCAGTATCTGCAGTGTGCAGTACCATCACTGAGCTGAGTAGGAAATGATAAGAACAAATAATAAGAACCATCAAATAGTAGAATAAAACACCTGCAGGACACATAACATAGACGAAGTGTAACACTACAAAACATTTTTATCCAGCAAAATGAAAAATCCTCTCTTAAATTGCTATAAAACATTAGGCCTATTTCCATTGCTTGCAGCTGCATTATCATTTTTTTTGTTTGTTTTATTAATAAATGACTCAGGTGTCGCCCAGGTTAATAAACCCACTGAGCATTACAATACAACTCTGCAGCTAGAAGGAAGATTCAGTCTCTTTTATTTTGTTACTGAAAAGTTCGGTATCAGCTGACTCATCAAATGTGTGGTTCCAGAAGCAAAATTCTGCCACTATTTAGCAAAAAAATATAAACATCTGCCAAACCTAGCATGTAAACAACTATTGTTATAAGGGCAACAAGCTGAAGAATGAAATGATTTTAGTAGCTGGTTAGCTGGCAGGGTTCTGACATTCCATACTGATGAAGATGCATTGTAAATAGACAATATTACATACCCATCCAACCTATAAAGAGATAACTAGTGTCATTTCTTTACCATTGAATTTATTGTAATCATTCAGTCCATTTGCTGTTTACAGCATAATTGGTATTTTATACATGTAGGCTATACTCAGTTGGCAGTTATCATTTGTCCTGTACAGTCACTGGAACAGCCAACTCATCTCTTAAAGGTGGTAATAGTAAGGAATATGTCATAATGCACAATAAATACTAAATAAGTAAAAGAAAGGTTACAAGATTCATTTATTTATCATTTGAAACAGGGTTGTATAATAAGATGAGACTCCACCATTAATTTTTTTTTATTTTTATTACATCTTATTTATTCACAGTATATAATTTTGTTTTGCTAAGTGGAATATATGAAACGGCAACTAGCACTTCTCCATATACAATGTTATAAATATCCAGTCAGAGATTACTTAAAATTAACATAGATAATAACATGTTCATGTTGAGACATTTGACTCAGTGTTATATATTTAGTTTTTAGTTTATTCAGAAAGAATAAATAAAACTCATCATGCAAACATAAACTATACAAAAGAGGTCCCTGTAAATGTGCATTTAATGACATTTTTGACATTTTACAATTTTTGTTTGTCCCTGTTTTTTCACCAATAAAGAAAAAAGAAAAATGCTAACGCTTTTTAACAAATCTCTTTGACACAATCACATTTTTTTCACATGTAGAAACTTGAATTTCTCACACAGATTTTTTTACAGGTTTACAAGGGTTGGTTTACAACTACAACTATTGGAATTATTTGTGAACATCACTTTACAAGTTCAAAATCATTATGACCCTAATTTGAGCCCATATACTTATGGGGTGTAGTCTTATGCATGACTTTTCATTTCTTGCTGGTTGTGGTTCGGCCTGAGGTGGATTCTGGCTTCCCCATGAAAACATATAATGGCAAATGTGTATTCCATTAAAATATTGATTAAATGTCAGAAGTGACAAATGAAAATGTTTCTTAAATATTCATTTCATTTTGCATGCTTTTATTTTGAAGGTTGGCGGTCAGCTGCGCCCAGATGACGTACCAGGAACAAATGACGTTCCTCCCTCAGAAATCACGGTGATGTTAGTCACTTTCTGAGTTTTCTGACCGTTACACGCCTGTTAGTGAGCATGTCAGCGAACGGCCATGAATTGGTCTGACAGAACCTTTCAGCTTTTTGCTAACGTCGGTTGTCTTCTTGTCATGGCAATAACACTGTGTGTTGTTTTCATACTTTTACCATCTGTTGACACCTCTGGTGAGTAACACTGTGCCAAAATGTGTGTACGGTTGTGGAACTGAAGTTAATAATTATTTTTTGTTTATTTCTAATGACATTTGTAAAAGCATTCCAGTAAAGGGAATAATACAATTGTCCTTGTGTGTAGGTGTGAACCTGGGCTTTGCCTCCTATTATGGAGACCACATGGTGCTGCAGAAGTCTCCAGAGAGAGCTGTGCTGTGGGGTTACGGCCCTGAGGGCGCACAGGTCACTGTCTCCTTGTCAGGACCGATAAAACAGAAAACCTCACCAGTCAATGTGACAAAAGGTAAGTTCAGCCAGTTGCTGTCAGACGGGAAGTTTATCCTGACATCTGCAGCGTGCTGATGGAAACAGAGGCCACACTAAGTGATCCTGACAGGAGCAGATATGGCAGAGACCCCACTTTTGTTTTAGAACTTATTTGGTTTTGCCTTTTCTATTAAGGAAACGCATCTGCTGTTAATTCTAACACTGCATATAACACATCAGGACTGATGTGCAGCCACCTTTTTTTCTAGAGCATATCTCACGTGTCCCAATAAATGAAATGCGTTTTAAATCTGTCTCCACGTATTTTCTTTTATTATAAGTTTTTTTTAAATAGTATTTATTTCATATAAAGGTGTCTGGCGAGTCACCCTTGACCCTGTCAACGCTGGTGGTCCCTACAGTGTGAAAGCAGCCACTCCGAGCAGCATGGCCACTCTGACGGATGTGTGGTTTGGAGATGTTTGGTTGTGTGGAGGACAGAGCAACATGTACTTCAAAACATCCCAGGTAGGCTGAGCTAGATGAACACCTGACTGTCTTTCTGATGAGCTAAATCAAGCTAACACAGTAAATGTGCTATAGAAGTCTGTCTTTAGGGTTGACTCTTGAATCAAAACCCTTTTGATTATATTATCCACAAAACATAGAAGGTTAGTCTGAATTAAATTTACTTTATTCCTGGTTTAGTGCAACACAATTGGTTTCGAAGGACATTATCAGCGCCAGAAAGATGACTAACCAGATCTCTGACATGGAGAAAAACCTAAGAAGTTCTAAATAACGTTCTATTTGATATGTATGTATGTATGTATTTATTCATATTTTATTGTTTAATGAACTCTCAGTGATTTCCCCAATAGATTTTCAATGCATCAGAGGAGCTGGCCCTCGCAGCGAAGTATCCTCATGTGAGGACTTTCATGGCAGCTTTGAACCTGAGTGAAACTGAGCAGACTGATCTGATTCAAGTGGAACTTCCCTGGACTGTGCCCACAGCAAGTGAGTCAATGATTTATTTATTTATTTATTTATCCCCCTAATTATTCAAAGACTTGATTGCAGCTAAAGGTTTTGGTCAGGGGTATTAAACTGCAACTGAGGTGTGTAATAACAACTGCACGGTGTTCCTAAACCGGAGCTACTGTTTAGTTACGGTCACAACATGTATCAACCACGATGCTACTTGTTTATGTGTGTGCTACCACCAACTTGCAGTTTATTGATTGGTTGATTAATAGGCAGGTGTACGTATTTCCAGGGAGTCTGGCTGACTTTTCTGCAGTGTGCTGGCTCTTTGGACGTTACATGTACGAGTTTCTGAAGTACCCCATTGGACTGGTGGAGTCTTGTTGGGGAGGCACACCTGTTGAAGCCTGGTCATCGACAAGAGCGCTGCAGCAGTGTGGACTACAGCGAACTAGAGAGAGGTAAAGATATGAAGACAACACTATTCAGCTAACCTGCAGCCTGGTAATTCTGCTCACAGGCAAGTGTATGAACTTTTCTGGTGTGTAATAAGCAAGAAGCGCTAACTTGCATTAACCGCACTGCTGCTACTGTCTGCATCTTACAATCCCCCAGTCCTAAAGACAAGAATTCTGTCTTGTGGAATGCGATGATCCACCCAATGCTCAACATGACCATCAAAGGAGCCATCTGGTACCAAGGTACGTTAGGATTACCCGCACAGGTATCACAGGTACAGGTATGCTCTCTAAAGCCAAATGCACCACATGTATCTATAAGGTTTTTCACACTTTCAGGTGAGGAGAATGCAGACTATCATCAGGACAAGTACAATTGTTCCTTCCCTGCTATGATTGATGACTGGAGGATGGCATTTCACCAGGGCTCAGAGGGGCAGACGGCTATTGATTTCCCCTTTGGGTTTGTCCAGGTAAGTTATTCTATGTATTTCACTAATAATACAGATAATAAGACAAAAAAAGAAACATTATTTATAGTGCAAGTCTTAATGTGCACTTTTTTTTAAAGGCACTGTATAAAATTAAAAAATTTCTCACTTTGGTGCCCCCCAAAAAAGACAAGATGCTGTGGATAAAGTAAAGCAGCCTTTGTAAATATCATTTGGATCATTGTAGATCTGATCCATGTTTTTTTTTTCTTGCCTTTACGTGCAGCTGTCCACCTACAAAAAAGACTCCACAGATGACGGCTTTCCGAACATCCGCTGGCACCAGACGGCAGACGTTGGCTTTGTCCCGAACCCACGGATGCAGCGAACTTTCATGGCTGTGGCTCTGGATTTACCAGATATAACATCACCCTATGGCACGTAAGGATCTGGCACGAGGAAAGAGCTCAGATGACACCTGTTCAAACCTTTCCGCTCTGTCTTCCAGTTAGTCTTTGGATAGATTTTAAGATCCTTATAAACATCTATTAAGTGTTTCATGGACTTGCCCCTGATATGCTGCCAAGACACGGAAAGTCCCTGGCATATCTAACATCAACAGACTTTCTTGATGTACCATAAACCAACAGGGAAACTGCTTCTCTGCTGTTTTTCTTTATTAAAAGTATACAAATGTGACGATGTCACCTGCTTTTGTATTTAACTTTCAAGCTGCCCATCTGTTTTTACAGACTGGTTTCTTTTCTGTTTTTGTGTATCAGGATCCATCCCAGAGACAAGCAGGATGTAGCTTACAGACTGACACTGGGAGCAAGGGCAGTGGCTTATAATGAAAAGGACGTGTCCTTCCTCGGACCTTTCCCCAGTCAAATCCTGTCCTCGCGAATGTATGTCAACATTACCTACAACCAGTCTGTCTCTGTCACATACTCTAAAGACATCTTTGAGGTAAGGCTGGAAATGGTGGAGTCAGTGTGAATTAAGATTTCTGTCCCATAGGCACCCACAGTAAAACAAAGTTAACACGTTTGCCTAAATAGTATGTGTAATCACACATCATTTAGGTCATACTGCTTTAGCTGCTCATTAACCGATCACTATTAAACAGCATGTGTTGTACCTGATGTTTGTCTGACCATTTCCAAGACAAACTAATTTCTTGCTCTGTAAATAATTGGACCCTCTTGTGTCCACCTTTTGTTTTTTTTAATAAAGATCTGCTGCTCCGGGATTCAAGCTCCATGTGGGCCTAAGTCCTTCTGGGTTCCAGCTCCCATCGCACAATGGGGTCCAACCACTGTCCAGTTATCTGCCAGCTTGTGTCCACCCAGCGATGAAGTAGCTGCTGTTCGATATGCATGGAGGGATTGGCCCTGTGACTTTAAAGCCTGTCCAATCTACAGCGCCAGTGGGATTTTACCTGCCCCTCCTTTTATTTTCAACCGCTACCCAGATAAAGGAAACATTTGGAAAAGCTACTGAAGCAGAAACTGCAAGAGGACAATGTGATTTTAAAAAAAAAAACTAACACACATTTGGTCGTTCAGGTCAAATGAGCTGATTGGACAGATACCGTGCGGTAGGAGACTCACCATCGTGTTAGATTTATTCAAAAGATTGGTCTGGACACTGGACTATACAGGAATGTATAATTTGGTTTCAGTTTATCCTTTACAGTGCATTCGGAAAGGTTTCAGACACTTTTTAAAATGGATTCAATTCAATTTTAAAAAATAAAAGACTGAAATATCCCATTTACATAAATATTCAGACCCTTTGTCATGACACTTGCAATTGAGCTCTGCTGCATCCTACTTTTATCAATGGTCCTTGAGATGCTTCTACAACTTGACTGGAGTCCACCTGTGCCTAATTGGACATAATTAGGAAAGGCACACACCTGTCTATAGAAGGTCTCACGGTTGATGGTGTATGTCAGAGTGAAAACCAAGCCATGAGGTCGAGAGAATTGTCCGTAGACCTGTGAGACAGGATTGTGTCAAGACACAGATCTGGGAAGGATACAAGAAAATTTCTGCAGCATTGCACTGCAGCCTCCATCATTCTCAAATGGAAGAGATTTGGAACCACCAACAATATTCCTAAATCTAACTATTTGAGCATCACCTCATTACTACCAACCCTACAGTAAAACACGGCAGTGGCAGCATCATGCTGTGGGGATGTTTTTCTTCGACAAGGACTGGGAGAGTAGTCAGGATAGAGGGAAAGATGGATGCAGAAAAGTATAGAGCAATCCTGAGTGAAAACCTTTTCCAGAGTGCTCTGGCTCGCAGGCTGGACCTGAACCCAATAGAGCATCTCTGGAGAGACCTGAAAATGGCTGTGCACCGACGCTCCTCATCCAACCTGGTTGAGCTTGAAGGATTCTGCCAAGAAGAATGGGAGAAACTTTGAAAAGAAAGGTGTGCCAAGCTTGTAGGACCCTTCCCAAGAAGACTTGAGGCTGACATTGCTGCCAAAGGTGCTTTAAGAATTAAGTGAGGGGTCTGAATATTTATGTAAATGGGATATTTTAATCTTTTATTTTTTTTTTTATTAATTCTGAAAACTTTCCGTATGCACTGTATAAAATCTATGCTGTTAGAACCACTGCCAATAAATTGCTGGATTGTATGAATGTAGAAAAGTGTGACGGATGTATTTTTATTTTAACAAAACTCTGATTCAAATAAGTCCTTTTGACATTTGGCACAAATAAATGACAAATCAGCAAATAAGTTTTTGTGGATGTGTTTACATTCAAAGCCAGAGCTTTTGCATTGGTAAAACAGAAAAACTGAATGAAATGCAATGAAATTATTGATTCATCCAAACATGATATAGAATTTTTTTCAATAGTGAAACTTTAAATAGGGTACCAACAGTGAAATACCAATGCAATAGTGTGCCATCCAACAAAATGTGTACATGGAGCGCATACTAACCTTATTATGTTTTTCCTGTGTAATCCCCAACTAGTGGAAAAACAAGCTTATACAATTTACATCTTAAATATACTGTCAACTAGGACTCGCTTATACATACAGTAAAGAATGTAATTTTCAATACAGTGGTGTTGGGTTAGCATGTTAAGCACAGATCTAATTCATCTACCACATTCAGCATATCATCAACCATGCTAGCACTCATCCGCAGTAATGCTGTCTGGGGCTAGTTAGGAAGAAGACATATAATAAATAGCATAAATTTGAGTTGTTATGCCACCATTTCATGAATAATTTAACCAGGAAAAATTTGATGCCTTGTAAATAAGAAAGAAAGAAAGAAAGAAGGATTAGGATTAGGTGAGGCTTTGATTTCACCAGTGCTGTCAGAATCAGGGGCTGAAGTATGACGTAGAGGGCTTCATGTTGGGGGAGGTCAGGTGATGCTGATGAGAGGAGCTAGGAGACTGCGGTGTCTGTCCTGAGGAAAGCCAGGTGGGAAAACAGAAGAACAGACACTGTCAATGTGATGAAGTGTGATGACTGCCAGCATTAGAAAATGCAAGAAATGACAAAAAATAGAAAATACTGTGATATAATTGCACAGACTTTTACTTTGAAAGGCTCATACTAACATCCTGTGACTCCTATGGGGGAGTACACTTATTTTTATATTATTTCCCACACAGGCCTGGTGAAGCAGTTGTTGGGGTTAGTTGTGTTATTGCCACAGGGGAGAGCAACGTTGAGCTGAGTGGCTCCACTACTTTACTCAGACATTTTGACAGCAGTTATTGAAGAACAAGACACAGTTTCTCATTTGCTTGCCTTTAACCTTCTCACTGTACAGTAATCCCAGCTGTTTAACCTAGATGCTACCCTGTCCCTGTATGTTTGAATGACACACCAGCTTTAATATACACTTGTAAACTTGTATTGAAGCAACCTGTGATGTGCTCCGTCTTGATGTTCTCATCAAAGCCCTGGTGTCTCTGGTAGGCCTCAAAGTTGACAGAGGCATCGTCCTCCGATAGGCTGTGAGGAACCTGGCCGTCACCGGGGCGACACACCTCAAAACGAATCCATCTGTAGCTAAATGAACAAGGTGAAATTATTAATACAAGATGATATGGTTCTAATAAAACATAGATTCACTCTGCACAATTTCTCTGCATAGTTACTTTGTCCTGGCTTGGCAGTGTTTTCCAGTTTCTTGTTTTCCTTGCTCCTGTTTTAAATGATCCAATAGTTTGGTTTCAGAAACATCTTTATCTTAATCATGAAACAGGGAACAACAGGTTCGAAAATATGTTTCAGTCTGTAAATAATTACTATGACTGATCTATGAAATTCATTTATGGGCCCTTACGGTCTGGGAGACACTTCCCTACATTTCATGGGTTTCCCAAAGTTGCACGACCAATGCAGATGTTGAAAATGCAGAAGTCTGTCTGTGTATATTACCATTACAAATACATAACAAATTATGGCTGAGACAGCAAGTGATGCAGTCTTGGGTCCCAGTGAGCTGAGGAAGTTGGTCTTGCATGTTTTAGAAAACTTAACCTGTATTGACAGGAACAGTTGTTTGTTGTTTTAGTAACGAACACGTACACTGGACACAGAAGCAGAATGGTCCAGACTTTACTACACACACGTCTTCTGCTTTTCCCCTTAAACAAAAAAAACGAAAGTCTAAAATGTTGTAAAAACATGAAAAACAAATATCATTCTTATTCTAAAATGATAATCTGCAAGTTAGAAAAGAGTGTGGATGTTGTGTAATGTAATTGATAATCAACATTCAGTAATAAGAGTGAACTTACTTGGTACATTTACGTGCTCCTGGACAACTCTGGATGAGATTCTGGATGGTGGGGTGAGAGAAGCCAAAGAAGTCTGCTCCTGAAGGCACGATGGGCGCCACTGACTTGGAACTAGGAGACAGACATGTTGAATGAGCACACAATTAAATTAAAAGTGACATATCATTTTCTGGTGGACATTTGCTAGACTAACACCACAACCCGAGAACACAAAACCTGTACATGTCTGCTGTGTAATTTATGCAGATGAACAAATTCAATTTAATCCAAGCCTTTGTGGTGAAGGTCTTGTACCTGACAGATGCGATGGCCTTCAGTAGGTTGGAGTGGCACGTCAGGGCAGAGGAGGCCACGATGGCGTTTTGAGGATCTTCTTCAGGCACAATCTCAAACTGGGGGGACAATGTTGAAAATGTTGGGAAAAAAAACCTGCAGCAACCATGTTGTGTGATTGTTAGTAAAATATGTCCATTTCAAACTGGACAAAAATGCAACTTGATCACCAATGTAGTGGGTGTTTGATCTGAGCCATTTACTATTTTCATAAATACTTGTATCAACATGCATTTGCAAGGTTCAGAAGAATGATGATGGATATTTGGCAAAACTGACGACAATCACAACTGTGTGTGTTTACCTGTGGACCTGTTCCTCCATCCTTGATTTGGCAGGTGTAGAGGCACTGCTGGTCAGGGTTTTTCATGCTGGCAAAGACTCGTGTGCTGCAGAAGCCCACTGGGTAGATGGCACACTCGTCATGGAACAACATTCTGTCTGTGATTATCTGGAGAGCAGTAGATTTTTTTTTTTTTTTTAACCATCAGTCTACACTCTGGATGGCCTGTTTAAGTTGTCATAGCAAGAGGACTTCAGTTCAGAGGTTTACAATAACTGCACCATGGCAATAAAAAAAAGCACTGACCTCTCCCAGACTGTAGATCGTTAAACCTCCCAGTACGATGGGAAAGACGGGACGACCAGATGAGTCCAGAGGGATGGGCTGCACCAGCTTCCGAGACCCGTCTGCTAGCTTTCTCTTCTTAGACATCTTCTTTGGCACTGAACACACGAGGCAATAAAATGATTGGCCAACTGTCTCGAAAGGTGAATGCAAACCATTCAAATTCCCTCTATTATCATATATCTATCTATATATCATATTATCAATACGTGACCATAGCACTCACTCTCCTCCTTTCCATTCTCCCTTCCTCGCTCTTTCCTTTCCTTCTTTGGTTTCTTAAGAGGTCCTTCTTCCCCTGTCGACACCACTGACGCCATGTTATGCCCCCCAGACAGGCCTGAAGCCCCTGCAGGGCCTGAGGTTAATGCCACAGGCGGCACAGGTGGATGAGAGCTGGAGGTGGGTGTAGGTAGTATCTCCCCCTCTGACAAAGACTGGTACTGCAACAACGACTTCAGTAAAAACCTGGAATTAAAATAAATGTGCAAAAAAAATAAAACAAAAAAAACAATCATCTTCACTGTCATAAAACTTCACCACCTGGCACATCCATCATACAGTATAGAAGAATAACAAAAGAGGACAAAGCGGGATGACTGGGGTGGGTCCTTGCTGAACAAACCAGATGGCCAATAGCACTTCTTTTTTTTTTTTTTAAAGAACATTATGGGAATCATAAACATAGCTGGGGCATGTCCACTCACCTTCGCTCCTCCTTTGCTCTCAGAAACTTCTCTTCTAAGTGAGCGACCTCATCACAGAGAGCTGCATTCTCCTGTGGGTACAGCAGTATTCCAACACTGATCAGTAACGAGCTGCGTATCTGAACTGTTCCTAAGAGTAACTGAAATTGTATGAAGCTTCAACTGTTTTCTCAGTAATGACTTAAAAATTTGTCACAAATATCATTCCATATATGCAAGATGTGAAAGAAAACCTACAGTAACTAGTTACAGCTTTATATTAATCAATCATTCACTCACAAATATCATTGCACGGGCTGCTTTGCGCAGCCTGAGGTACTTGAGTCGGTACTTCTCATTCTGATTTTTTCGTGAACCTCTCTTCATCTTGGCCTTATGCTCTGAGGAACCGGTGGGGGATGGGAAGGCGGCTGCCGAGGCCCCTGAGCCAGAACCGCTGATGGTGTTCTGCTGCGGAGAGCTGAGGAAAGACTGGGCAGTGAAGGCCTGCAGGGCCTGCTGCCGCTCCTCATCAGTCTGGAGGCAGAGGAGGGGAGAGAAAGACAGAGATCTATTCATGTGTGCCGGTAGGTACCTGAGGCCTGAGCTTGTGTTGCCTTCAGGAGGGTGGATGGGAATACTGACTAAAATATAGATGAAAAATTAATACTGATGTAGCTTCCACATAAATTGCTGTATGACAAACAATGAACGTTACTGAAAACAAAATGTGCATGAGCTGGTTAAAACTAAAGAAATTAAAATAATGAAATTATTTCTATTCTGTTTAGGAAATAAACAGAAACTATCACGTGACATTACATCTTCACTGCAAAAACACTGTGTTCCCAATTTTAATGATACTGAAATGAAAATTTCAATATCAATAAATTCTTTCTATGTGGTACAATTATACCAGGCAGTGATGTGTATCCAACTATGGTTCTGGGCCTAGGTCTTGTGTGAACAGTAATGCCTCAGTATTTATCCATTACAAATAACCTGGCATAAAAGGTCAAATTCTTTTTCAGTATACCATAACATATTCAGGGTTTGTGTGAAATTGCCATTAGTATCCCAGTTAACTCACCAGCAGTGCAAAGACTCCGTTTCTGTTCTCAATCCTCTTGAATCTCCTGCTGCCTTTTTGTGTCTGAAACATATGTGAGACTGAGGCCAAATGCACGGGGCTGGAAAAGCCAAATCTGACTCCCAATTTAGATTAATTCCATCATTATTAGATAACACCTGGTTCAACGCTTGTGCATGTGAGCACAGGGAATCCTTTGTTGTGATTACAGCAGTGCTCCTCTTTAAAATAGTGAAATAAGGTCAAAGAAGCAGGATGGAAAAACATGGAGAAAGAAAAAAATAGTAAAAGAAATACAGACGATGCTTGGACTGTATTAACTGAACAAACACAGATGCTGAATGGAGGTGCAAGTTATTATACTCAACAGCAGAGGTTGCTGTCAGGCTGAGTCTTAAACACCCTCCTTACCTCACGGTACATGACAGCCTCCAGACTCGATTTTGCACTGCCAAGGGGAGAGCAACATGATAAGCATTTGACACATGAGCACATGGGTAAAAAGATGTATAGCAATTTGAGAGGATTGCTGTACTTGGATTGAACAAGTCCCCTGTCGATGATTCTCTGTTTAATCTCCTTTATGTGCATGGGACGTCCTGCCTCCTCCAAGACAATCTATACAAGAGAAAGTTTAAGACAAAACACACTTACTAACTTACAGCAGTTGATCATAGTAAATATTAATATAATAACACCACAATGAAATATAAGCATAAATGACAGACACCTGTGCAGCATCGAGCCATGTGAGGTTTGGCTTCTCCGCAATTTCACTGGGTGGTTCACTGCAAATAGAAGAAGTTCAGTATCATCAAGTGAAACATTATTTGATTTACTGGCACTTTTAAAATCATTAGCAATAAAATATCAACATTTTAGATCACATACTCATCTATATCTTAGTAAAAAGAATAGAGCTGTACCAGGAAACTAAGGAAGGTATTGTTTGTATGTTTTGAATTCAACAACTTGTGCAATTGCTTGATATCAAATGATGTGAGCACAGACACATCCAGGCAAAGCCCTTCTCTGCTGCTAGTTAGGAGACAGGTGGTATTTAAAACTGATTTATTTTTTTTTTTTAGATTTGATTCCCACCACCTAAAGATTTTCAAATGTTTTAAAATGAAATTATTTTGAACAACCTCTCCAGTGTTTCTGCAGTCCCAGACAGACTTGCAATGCTGTCCAGAGCAGGAAACAGAGAGTAGTTCCCTTGTCCATCAGCCTCCATCTCAGATTCAAACGTGTTGAGTGACTCCATAGGAGACAAGGACAAGCCTCTGCCCAGAGGAGAGAAGAAACGTCAATGAGAAATTTACAACCCAGCTCATCTTTCTGTCTGCAGACACATCATACACTCAGTTAGAACAATATTGGCAACAAGAAGACTGTAACTCAAACCAGAAACCTGCATATTCTTATACAGTGAAGCTAAGACTTGCTAAGTGCACACAGCTGCTGATAACATAAAACACAAGAGCAAATGTTATGTAGAAGCAAACACACACACACACACACCTCAATTAAACTGCAGCAAACCAACAAGCCCACTTCTTTCAGTTCGTGCTCCGGACTGTTTGTTTCCGTGTGTCAACCGGAACTTTCAGTCGCCTTCATCGCATTGTTTACATACAGAGAAGCTAAAAGCTAACGTTAACCAGCTAGCAGCAGAATCCGTCGGAACTATCGTGATACTGTGGAGCTGTGCACAAAACAAATAATGTCAGTAATATGGTTCAAAACGAAACCATCTACGGTAAAAAAAAATAAAAAAATAAAAAAATAATAAAGAAAAATGTCGATTACGACGAGATCGACAAAAAAACTAAAGGCAGTGGTTTCCATCGGACATTTTTTACCGAGGGTACTTTTACCGGATATCCGGTTAAATTTGTTTTTGAAGCGAGATCACAATTAGAAAAGTTTTGGGGTTTTTTTTTCTTTTCTTTTTTTGTCTTTCCTCAGACGATATAATTTGTGCCCAGATTTAATTTAGACATTCAAATTTTTCTCAACTGCAACTCTTTTCTGCATCATTTCTAAACACCCTTTCACTGTGGTGTATTTTGTCTTCTAATACCTCACATCTGAGCACTTTAACTGCTTCTGTTAATTCCCTCTCTAAAGGATGATTTGTGTTTCTCTGTCAAGTTGTTGGTGTGAATGATACATACCTGTGGAGTTTTGATAACCACTGTATGTAGCCATAGATCTCTATGCACAATGCACCTGTGCTTATGTTCGACCAGCTGCAGGTGTACTGATAGCATGATGATCTGAAAAGCTTTCTTTTAGGTCAAAATAACAAATCATGTTTCCTTTACTTTGATTTTCTGTTTTTGCTTTTTCTGGCACCACCAGTGTTTCTAAATCACAACTTTCTTCATATTCTTTGTCATTGACCTACAAAATGACCTACACTATGTGGGGCAGACCTAAATGTTTGTGTGGTTGTTTTATTGTGCAGAGAACAACACACAGATTAAAGGGACATCTTGCAGAGCATAAATATGCCACACCTACATTGAGGATGGACTGTCCTGCAGTAAAATACAAAGTCCTTTAGATGCACGAGTGAGGACAAACTCGGCCCATTTTCTGTGTACTGAGAAATTAACATCTCTAAACTAAATTACACTAGAATTATTGTCTATTTCTGTCATGGTGGTAGGCAGTAAAAGGGTTAGATTTCCCATAAATGTGATTTAAATGGTTATTTCCCAACAGTCTTTTTGTAAGACCATCAAAGGTCATTACTAATTAAATTGTTGGTTCACCCAAATAACAAAAGAAGTATTTTCTCACGTATCCCTTGTTGTATGCAGCCATGCAGATAGTGTTAGTTTTATCTGCTGGAGTTTTGAGATAATGTTTTTTTTCCCTTCCTCCTATCAAATACAGTGGAGGTGATTGGAATTTACTTTGTAGTGTTTTAACAGCAACATTGTGGACAGTTTTCAGCTTTCCACTGTCCAAATAATACATCTTGACGGCATGTTCTGATGATATCTGGAATATGGGAGCACATTGTTTTTGGAAAGAGATTTTGCTCTTGTGTAATGCTGTAAAGACATCACAAATAAAATTCAATTCACTGCATTGGAGTGGCTGCAGAAATCTCAGCGATAGATATGTCACAACCTGGGAAATTGAATCTAAAACTATCTGCACAACTGAGTACCACTACAGATAAGGGAGAAAATATCTTGTTTTGGTGAACCAACCCTTTAAAGCTCCCCCATTCTCATTGATTGTATCTTCTGCACTCTGTTAGCTCCTTGGCCTTAGTTTGTTGTGTGCTTCAACCTGGATTCTACTGTGTGTGTGCACAGCAAACTATAAAATCCTTATTTTATCCATGTTCATGAAACAGTAGTGACTCAGCTCTCTTTCTATATTGGATCTCCTCTCATGTGGCTAAACAAACCCTGTGGTCCTAATTCTAAAATTGCTGCATACAGGGAAAAGACAGGATTATTTCACAACATAACAGTTGAGACATGATCAAGAGCAACTAATGGCTTAAATTGTTTGTCTACTTTTTTCTACTTCATAACCAAAGTACAGTGTATTCAAATAAGAAAATCATGCACGTTGAGCCCTATCATGGCTAGAAGGGACAATGAAATTGCAGAGGAGTTTTTGCATAACTCCATCTTGACCTTTATTTGTAATCCCGGGATGTCTTAACCCTTATTTTACACCCAAAATTGTGCAAACATGTCTTAGCAAATACAATGACCATCAGTATGTTCCTTTGCAAGTTCCATACATAATCAGAAGCATTTTCAAACAGGTCAAAGATTATTTACAGAATTGATTAAATGATAAACATTTACTGACCTTTGCCTCTGCTGTACGTCAGCAGCCAAGCAGTAGTTAGACTAGAAAACAACATCTGTCTCTATGAACTGTTCCCCACATCATAAGAAAGTGATATGCATGCAAACTGCAGTTACATTTAGGGAGTTCGACAGTTGTGTCTCAGTAACAGTTGAGCCAGCCGTAGTTGAGCAGTACACGCATCACCCTCTTGTATGGCATGTAGTACTCACTCTGTCTGGGTCCATCTGAGAAATAAATATATCCTGTGGGAGGGAAGAGTCATTTTATATGCAAGTATGCAGCTGAACTTTCAGACAAATAAACAGATTTTTTGGACATTTTGTGCAATAAAATACATAATATTCACATTATAGTACAAACAACTTATGTCCATCCAGCAGATATGGAGTAATATTAGCATTCATTTGTTTGAAAGTTACTCCTTCAATAAAAAAATAATGACTAGTATAGCTTACAATATAATGCCAGATTTTTGTTTCTGTCATTCTAACCAAAGGTGATTCTTGACCAGTAAGAAGTGAGTTAAATGTGAATAAATATTTCTCACCATAATTCTCAAAGGCTGCATCTACTTTGGAGCCAATGCCAGGGAAATCCCAAGTGATATATCTTGGGTATCCATAGTCCATTTGGTTTCTGCTCTCATCATAGCTTCAAGAGAGAAAAGTGAGACACTCTTACTCTTACTCTTTTTGTGTTCAGCCATACTCAATAAATGTTTCAGTGATCAGTTAACATCTCTGTTATTTTCATTTTTATCCACTAAAAACCAATATGCACATGTCATGTGAATAACAAAATGAAATCTGATCATGACCAACGCTTACCTCCAATACTGGTTATTTACAAAAATGAGTGTTTTTCCCGTCGTTGGCACATAAACAGCTGCATCAACCTTACTGACTGAGGAGGGGAGGCCGAGGTGGGTGATAGACTTTGGATACCCTGACATTATTGTCTTTGCATGAGCCTTTATGCCCCAGTATTGACTACCTGTAGAGAAACAGTTGCAGGTTATTCTTGTACAGCTTCACAGCACTCATCGCATTCACTACAGTCCACAATCAAACCGAACAAAACCGTTTGAAAATTACCTTCAAAGAGATACACCACATCCCTGTGTGGGACTTCAAAGGCAGCATCGACATAATTGATCCTAGACCATTTTGTGTTCACTCTAGTCAAAGAGATTCCTTGGGAGGTTGAACTCTTTCTCCAGTAGTATCTGGTAAGGCATTTAAATTGAAATGTAAAAAGATCTAGGACTCATGTTCTAGATGAATACACTGATTATCATACTTTCAGAATATACCCGTTTTTAAAGAAGAACAGATCTCCCCGGATTGAGGTAGCAGCGTCAAACACCAGCCCACGGTTGCACTGCTCATTTCGGGGGTTTGGTTTTTCCGTTGGGTCCTCTGGCTCTGGTTCAGGCTCTGGTTCAGGCTCTGGACGTGGTTTTGGTTTTGGTACTGGTGTGGGCACTGATGAACGGCTTCCTGGGAGATGGAGTGGCAAAATTAAGAGTGACTAAACTATAATCTTCAGTCATCATAAAGCAAACGACCAACGACATAAATAAACTAAAAGATGCACTTTTAGGACCTTAAGCTCATGTTTAAAATCAGTCTGACTATAAAGTATACAAACCACATTAAATATAAAATGTCTCCAATTCCTCTGCTGTTCATTGTATGGAAATGTAAATTGCAAATTGCAAACTGCAACACATGGAATTTGTTTAGTGGTTGAATAGAGGTTTCTGTCATGTGGTGCAAATAAAGACATATTTGAAGTTCAACAATTCAGCTTGTTTTTTTCCTACCATAAAGGGCTTGAACCCCTCGCCTGTCATCGTCTGGTAGCCTGTACCCGTTTGTGTTGACGTACTGATATGTGGGGTACATCAACGCACGTCTGTCCCTGGAGTGATCCAGGCCCAGAGCGTGGCCGAACTCATGGGCCGCCACCAACAGCAGATTCACACCTGAACACAATAACAACGTGAACGGATTTTATACTTCTTCCTCAGTGGACAGGGGAGCTTCAGCTTCACTAAAATAACATGGTGGAGTATATTTACCTCTTTGGGTAAGAGTCCAGGTTTCATCATCGTCAAAGTGTGTGTCCCCTCCCTGACCTTGTCCAGGAGAGTTAGCATGAGCCAAGACTCCACCCGCTCCGTCAAAAGGGTAAAAGTCTCCATGATCTGCAATAACACAAAGGAGATAATGTAATCTACAATTTTAGAGTTCAAGTCTGTACTTGCATCCAGAGACAAGGATTCCCATAAACCAAGACATCAGCTGGCATCAGTGATGAAACCATAATCAGGATAAATAACGTGTCTAAGGTCAGATTTCTGTAAAACAAGGTGATAAATTTGGACTTTTTTATTGTTTTATTTATTTATTCCTGACAGAGGTTGCAACCGTGTTTAAAAACTTCTTATTTCATCCAGACTTACATCCGCCCTTGAAGAGGATCATGATGTCCGCAGAGCCGGTGTAGACCTGTTTGAAGACCAGTGGGATGACATCACTGTAGAGCTGGAAAGCCTTAGCAATGGTTGCATCAACCTGACTCTGGGTCAGATCTGGAGTGTACTGAGTGATCCTGTTCAAATCATATATGGTTATCATCATCATCATCATCATCATCATCATTGTTGTTGTTGTTGTTGTCATCATTATCATGGCAGAGTCATGTTTAAATTCTCAACCACCTGAAATACAATTATGTAACTCCTGACAATATTATAACCTCCTCTGGTTCACTTACCTGTATGTAATTAGCCTTTTCCCCCATTTGGGTTTTCCAGGGAAGTGTCCATATCGGCTGATGTCTGACACACCACACCTCGGGGCTTTCATCACCTCCACAGTCTCTTTATTCAAGATGCCAGTCACCTAGTGGTCAGACGATGACATGAGGTAATAACAACATAGAGATGCTTAAAGTGAAGTTTGAAACATGTTGTCATTTTTGCTGTCTGCTTAATGATTCCTGGTATGAATCCCTTGTCAGTACTGAAGTTATTAGGAGTCATATTATATTTGGTTATAAGAAAGCAACATTTTAGAGATCTGTCTCATGTGTTTTATCTTTTTAAACCATGAAATTGAGGTGAGCTTTTCTTTCTTCATACATGTTCACTCAGGTGATATGAGCACTGTTGAAAATAGAATATTTGATTCATTGACTGATGTAAATACCTCCAGGCCAAAGAAAGCCTGCATGGCCTGCAGGTCCTGGTTGAAGGAGTCATTGGTGATGCTTCGCATTGAGGAGTTTGTCATCCCAACATCACCATAGAACTGAGAAAGATATCCCTGACACACAGAGGGGAAACAGGGTTTAAGCAAGAGACGATAAGGATTGTGCTTATTACGTGAATACACAATCTGAGCCTTAAGTCTATTAGACTCACCCATGTCTTCTGATAGCTCCTCACTGCTAATATATATATGCAGAACATACCTGAGCCAGGTCTTTGTCCTCTGGTGAAACCGTTGGAGCAACAGTAGGTGCAGCTTGACAAAGTGCCAAACAACCCAGCAACACTATCCAAAAATCAATGAGAGACATCTTGTTGAAATGTTTTCTTCTCAACCATCCACTCTCCTCTTATAAAGGCAGCCGTGACAGCTTGGTGTGTGTGTCGTGCTGATAAAAGCTGAATAAGAGCTTTCCAGTAAATGTTAAAACAAGCCAATGCCAGAAGGGGCAGGAGAGTAAAGAGGGGCCCCTATGATAACATAGTGGGAGGAGAAGATACGATCAGTTTAACTTCACCTTTGAAACATCTGTGAAGCAGTTAGATTGTGTTTTGGTCTGTTGTCCTCTTGCTTTTTCTTGCAGTGAGATGTTTTTGGTTTCATGCAAACATTTACAATTTTCTTTGTTGTGTGATATTTTTTTATCATTTGTCACATTTGAGTAGTATATTATATTTGAGTGAATATACTGTAGATGCATGTGCTTTATCAGCCTAAACCATACAAAACTAAGCTGCAATAGTAAGGAGCACACAATGTAATGAGACTGATTTGCTTAATTTGACCCATTTTAAATTATGGTCTTTGGTAGAAAACATGAACATACACCTACAATCTGCCCCTCATCCCAATTGTCAAATTTAAAGATGAACAAAATTATCTGTCAAAAAAACATTGACTTACCTTACTTATTTGTTTTTAATTTCTTCTTTGTTTACAGTGTTCTCTTTTTGATAACCTTCTGATGTAGGCTGACCACAGTCCAGTTTGGTGGGTAAACATGAGTGTGCTGTTTGCAGATACCCAACGTTACATGACTTTATCTCTAAGCACTGATTGAGGCTAAACTGAGCCTTAAAATGAGTAATCAGGACTTCTGTAACTTTGTGATGTCACAACAAAACAATCGCCACCCTAGCCATGTCCCAGCCCAACTAAACCCACTATCCAACCTTGCAGGATTTGGTTTCTCTGAGTGTTTACCTTAAAACTGCTGTATTTTTATTCCATCACTCAGAAAACAGTCAGCCAATCACCGACCTGTTGTTGGTAGAGCTCCAGAGAGAAGCCTGTGAAAGGAGATGTAAAACTACACTGAGCGTCATGGTTTGCCATGGTAGACACTTTTTGTTAGTTTGTTTGGATTTTGTCACTTCCTGTTTTATTTTGTAGTTGTTTTCCTTGTGTGTCTTAATGTTTTTATTTCCTGTCTTGGTCCTGTTTTTCTGGGTGGTGATTGTCTGCCCCAACCTAATGTGTTTCAACTGTGTTCAATTACCCTCGCCCCCCTTGCGTCTATACAGTCTTTGTGCTCCCCTTTGTCTGTGTCGGTTTGTCTGTTCATGTCTGGTTATTCCCCCAGCTGTTCATGTCTGGTTTGTCCTCGGTCTGTTCATGTTGCCTGTTCTAGCGGCTGTGGTATCCCCTGTGTCTCCAGTTATTGTTCCTTGTGTGCTCTTGTGCTTCGATTTCCTGTTCTGTTGGTTCACTCGTTTTGTAAGTTCTTCAGTTGATAAACATTTTTGCAATTGATTCCTATGTGTTGGCTGCATTTAATTCCAGCCTTACCCGCACCATGACACTGAGATGGTTTTTGGTTCTTAAAACCACAATTATATCTTCTTATGGATATCGACACTCAAAATAAAATACAGGAAAAGTATAAAATATGGGATCTTTAATGCACTTGATGATACACTTGATTTTCACATTAAAAGTCTTCTGTACCATACATACAGGTACACACATGCCTCAAAAGTCTTAACTCAAATACATAATGTTAATAATTTTTATATTATTATTATATATGACCTTTTATTTCTCTCTCGACTATACACAAGATGTATTCCCATTAACAATTCAACTCACTCCACCACTGTATCAGCTGTATCTACATCCCAGCCAAGAATTTGCTGGAATTATATTCAACACTCGCTTTTGTCTGAAGTCAAACTGGTAGGATTTTAACCCACTGAGGAGGAAGATGCTACCTGTCAACAGAAAATCACACAAAAATCACAAGAGTTAAAAAAGACTCTCTTTCTTGTCATATGTTAATTGTGTGTGCATGTCAAGTGTGTTATCCCCTCGTGTTGAATTGAGATGTGAACAGCAAAGTTCAGCTGTAAATAGAACATTTCTACTTCAGTAACACATTGTTCTAAAACTGGTGAAAAGTGGTGTTTTCAGTATAAAAGTGTGTCCAGTGCGGTAAGCCCCACCCGTCCACCACCTAAACCCGGTAAAAACAAGAAATTACAACTTCTATTTCAGCTGTATTCTATTTGTATCCTGTTGCTCAGGTCCGCATTATACAGAGTTCATGACCATAACTGTGTTTCACTGTTTTCTTTACCATGCAACTTAAAGGCGGCGTTGACCCTCTTCGGGATTCCAGGCCAGTCTGTCTGGATGAGTCTGGGGAAGCCCGGGTCCATCCGTCTCATGCGTTCATCATACCTGAGGTTGGATCATTCATATTCGCTTGTTTTGTTCATCCAGTTCATACTAGAATTTTTTTCCCCGTTTGGGTATGGACATTGTTACCTGCTAGAGTGCAAACTTCTTTTGATGTCTGTTATTTCATGCATGCTCATTTACCCAATGTGATGAGATGTTGATAATGTATCCAGTAATTTTGAGTTAATATTAGTTGATTAATTAATTATTTTGACACTATGTTCATATTCGATTGCTTTTTTTTGTAGCTCACATTATAATAAACTGATAATCTTTTGGTTCTGGACTGTTAGTCAAAACAAGACGTTTGAAGACGTCACTGGGGCTTTAAGAAATTGTGAGGGACATTTTCACTATTTTCTGACATTTCATAGACCAAAACTTTCATAGAATAATCAAGAGAATGATTGATCGATTCATAGATTATGAAAATAATCATTAGCAGCAGCCCTAGATTAATTTGCTTAGTCTGGCATTGAAACTGAATGAGCATGAAAAAACCTCATTAGATGGCTGTTTGATATTGGAATATTTTCTCTCACTTCATCTGTAACTTCTCCTGTTTTTTTATTTGTTTGTATGTGATTTTTTTTTTTATGTGAAGCAAGTTGGCCTTTGAAAAAGTTACCTGTAATAAAACTCTCCTGTGAAGAAGACTGTTTTCCCATATTCACTGACATGCACGGCAGCGTCGACCTGCCTGATTCTGGAGGAGAAGCCGTACTCGTAGATGGAGCCGGCACAACTTCTCATCTCATAAGCTGTTGAACCACCCAGTACTTATGACCTGGAAAAACACAGCCGTGTCACTGCATTTTGGGACACTATGAAAAACAGCAACATACCACAGGCACTGCCAAACTCAATGAGCCTCTTGCATGAAGTGCAACACTTAAGTTGCACAAGGCTGTAATTTGGGCTCAACGTTGTGCTCTCCTACTGGAAATCGAGCCTTGTCATGCTGACAAGGCCTAAGTGATGCTTTGCAGACTGCCCATTACTCTACCAGTGAATATGTACGCCACGCCTTTGGCAGGGATGTCATAAGCGGCATCAACATGAGAACTGATGCTCGGTAAATATGTGCTGCTGCGGCCCTCTCTCAGGCGACTCCAACAGGATGTCCCTGTCATTCTCATCCACATGTACCTGGATTGAAACAAGTAGATTCAATCTTCAATCTGCATCTCAACTGTACTCAAGTGAGTTTGCGATCATAATTGAACCATAACTTACCTGTTTTTAAAGAAAACAATCTCCTTTCCAATCATAGCTGCTGCATCAAAAGAAGAGTTTGAGTCACACCTTTTAAGAGCAGGTTGGGTTTCCAGTTTTGTTGTGGGCTTCCCTGAGAACACATTACATATTATTGAGTAACATTATTTCTAACTCGGTTTTTGAGCAAATAATAACTTTACATTTTAAATTTGCTCCTCACCGTACAGTGTTTGGATCCCAAGCACATCATCTCTGGATAGAGACTACTGTGTACTGCTGTGATGCCTGTAATTGGGGTACATGATAGCAGAGGGGTCCTTGGAGTGAGTCAAACCCAGTGAGTGGCCGAGCTCATGAGCTGCAACAGCAAACAAGCTGTAACCTGAAATACAGCAACAGTGTCCAATTAGTCACTTTAGGAGGTAAATTAGCACAGGATTACACTGAAAACTGTTGCCACACTGCTGTCTTTGGGTTTGAGAGCTTCACTTCTAGCCACACCCTCATCCGTGATGTCACACCAGGTGCTTTCTAGCAGCTGTCCCATCTGTTACACCTGGTGTGACATTACGGGTTGGGGTTGTGGCCAGAGGTGTCAACCCAGAGTCATGAAACAGCTTTTTGACCACTGTGGTGCAGCATTGATTTACATATTCAACAAACATACTGCACTAAGATTGCACAGTTTTGACAATCTGCAACAAATTTTTATATTTCATCAATTTCATCTGGTAGATGCTTTTATCCAAAGCGACTTGCAGTAAGTGCATTCAAAGCAGGTGAGAGCAAGAGCTAGATATCTTGAAATTAAGAGTGTATCCTTTATGTATATTTTAAACCAATAAATAAACCAATAACTCAAGATTTTTATTCAGACAAATGAGACAAGTAAGTGAGTGTTAGGTAAGGTGGATTTTTAGCCTGTTAGATTTGTGGCTTGTTTCAGCTCTTGTATTTTATTTTCTGTGTAAATTATGTCATGTCTCACAAAATTACAAACATGCTTTGACTGACAAACCTTGCCCCCCTGCCGTCCATGTTTCATCTTCATCAAAGTACACGTCTCCTCCCATCCCCTCTCCAGGCTGAAAGGCGTGAGCCAGCACACCCCGGGGTCCATCAAACGGAGAGAAATCTCCATGAGCTACAACAGAAGGAGTGAATGAACCAGGGTTTCCTGGAAAATCTGATTTACACTGTTGCAAAAATATCCCATCTTCTCCATCTTTTTTGGCATGATTAACCATAATTAGTGTTGAGTGTATTTTAAGCAGCATTGTAACTCCTCAGAAGTGATTTGCAGATTTACTTCTGCGGGCGAAGGAGAAGACTATATCAGCTTTGCCATGGCTGACTTTGATGAACCTCAGTGGTGCTGCAGCACTCCACATCTTCAGGGCTGAACAAAAGGACCTTGCCACGTGCCCTCTCTTCATGTCTGGAGTGTATTTAGCAATCCTGTGTGCCGGTAAAAGATGGACCAACAACATGCGAGAAAATGACCATTTTACAATATTACAGTAATCAGCAAAAACCAGAATGATTAAGGTATGTATTAGAAAACTATGCATGTTTCTGAGTCGACACAAAACATCTCACATGTATGTGATGGTGTGGTTCTTCCATTTAGTTTTCCACATCTGGAACACCACACCTCGGCTCCCTCATCACATCCAGGGAATGAGGGTCCAGGTCTCTGTCAGACCAAAGAAGTTTTGCATTTCTCTGATCTTCTCCTCCATGGCTGACGTGGACCGAATCCGTCTCACTGACACTCTGTCTCTGCTTCTGGGGTTCAGGTTATAGAACCTCCTGAGGTAGCCCTGTTGTGAGAGGAGGGTTAAGTCTATGTTCATATGAGATGCCAAAAAGTATTTATACTATAAATGGTGTTTTATATGTTTTCTGCGCCACACTACGCAGTGTATGACTGATGAGAGGTTACAGCAGATGCATTTTCTGATAGACATCGGACTGTTCACTATTTCTACAAATCATTTTCTGATAAATAAAAAAAAAATGTTTCTCATAAATGCATATGAGGTAGATCACCTATTGACCTCAATTGTTAAATGCATGTTGCAAAGAAATGAGTTTAAAGAGCAGACGTGGTCAGTTTTTGATCGGTTCAAATTGTTCACTGGACAAAGATTGAAGCTGCGCAAATTCTGAATTAGGTGAATTCAGAATTATTACATTGGGTCAACACAGACAGCAGGCATCATGATATATGCATATTTTGTTTTTGGTAGGAAGTGAAAACATGCAAGTTGAATTCACTGATACGTATAAATGTAGACAGTTTATCTCTCAAAATGAGGTGATAATCACTACACTTTAGTATTTGTAGTTTAAATGAATTTCTGATATTAATAGATAAGACTTCATACTGGAACCAAATCAAATCCACATAAATCGTCCATCTGCATAAATCATCATAAATATAGACATAGTAACAAACTAATATCTTCACTAGGTTCCTCAAAACAAAAGTCAGAGTCATGAGATATCTAAATCTAAATTATATGGTTCTTATATAAACTACAAGACAGTCATCTACCCACAAAACAAACCTCAGCCAGCTCCACATCCTCAGGCCTCAGCTGCTGACTCTGGTCGATGGGTAGAGTCCATGAGATTCCCGCAAACATCAGAGAGCCCAAAACTGTTATCAACAACCAGAGCAACTCCATGTTTTAAATGCACATTTTCAGCAGGCTTCACATTTTTTATATGGGAGTATTCTCAGGGTTGTTGGGCAATCACACAGCCCAAAAGTGCGTAATCCTGGTTGTTACAGCTGGGTCTACCTGCCTCAATTTTCTGGAGGTTTTTGTGGTTAAAACCTCTCAATGAAATGTCTACATACTACGTCTGGGATTTCTGTCTGTAATGATGACATGTGTACCGTGTGTTTTGTAGTTTACAAACCAGATATAGATACAGTAGCTTGTACCCAACTTGTAGCCATTCGTGAGGCAAACCTTATTTACAGCCTGCCATCATATGTGTAAATCAATCTCCACCACAGTGATATGCAGATTTGATAAAAAAGACATAAGCTGATGTGTAAATGCTGGGTGCATTTTACTGTGGTATACAAACCAAAAAACACACACATCAGGTTCAAATTGTATTTCTTTATTTCGACAACATGTGACCGCTGATAAATAAAACTTCACTCAAAACTGAAAAACACAGTGTTTCTTTCGTCTTCCTGTTTAATTTAATCAAGGTTTTCAGGTAATTTCCTTGTTGCATGTTCACGGATTTAAAGTATTTCAACATCCAAGCCAGGAATTTGCTTTCTCAACTCCGACAACAAGTTTCTGGGAGTAGTCGTATTTGTAGACTTGTGGTCCGACAAAGAAATAGATGAAACCTAAGATGAAGAAAAATCAGACCTTCAGGAAGCAAACAGAGTGATTCACATACTGTATTTCACATTTTTCATGTTGTGCTGCCCAGAATGTTTTTGCAGTCCGTTTTTGTTGACGGTCATAATGATGATGCTGATGACGATGATGGGCATCTTTCTGAACTCAAATATCCACTCTTGCTTGCAGTTGAAATTACAGTATGTCATATGAAGGACTTTAATTGGTAAATTATACAGTTGAAATGATAGAGGGGGAACTGGCTGCTCTGTAAACCTTAACTACACTGAGCTCACATTGCATGTACATTAGCATTCCTGTGCTACCAATAACAATGCAACTTGCAAAAGCCCTTCAAGCTACAGACAGAGATATGCTACCTGCTAAACATAAATAAGACTACTGCACAACATCACCCAGTATGTTTACAACTGTGGCCCTGAGAGCTCAATGCACTGCACTGCAACGTAAGAGAACACAAGCAAATACAGAAAACATTATCAACACGTGCACTGCAAATACACACAACATAACCAAATACACATGTTTTTTTTAACACTTGTCACGTTTTAGTATCCTCTGGAAACAAACATATTGTCGCCTGAGCTACTTGCAGCTTGTTTGTGTGTGTGGTTGTGTTGTGAGTATTTTCAGCACATGTTTTGTCAAAGTTTTCTTCAGCTGCAGCGCGTTGAGCTCTCAGGGCCACCATACTTTACTCTTGTTATGTATATGAGGAAATTTGTTGTGGAGCATGTTTAAGCTTTTGCATTTTCTTCCATCTCACAAGTTATGCTGTAAATACATAGTGTGTAGCCTCCATCATCTGCAAATATACAACACAATGGGTAACAGTGATAACATTTGCTCACCCTCTTTATGAACAGCTGCATTTATTGTCGTGTTGACTCCTGGAAAGTCCTCGCTGATGTACTTTGGGAAACCAAAATCCATAACTCTTCGGTTTTCATTGTAACTGAAAATAAACAAGTCATGACTCATGATCATCTGTTTGTGCTACAAAGCTAAGACAAAACATTTGTGTACGGTTGCAACTTTATGATCCCGTCATCAAACCGAGCCCTTTGCTCTCTGTGTGAGGTCCAGCTGACAGAGGAAATGTTATTGTCAGATCTGGGTCAGCTGGGTCCATATCTACCAGCGCTTTGAGATTTGGCTCTTTTATAGAATTACACTTTCATTTAATATAACACAATTAAAAAAAAAAAAACTCTTCCTTTCCGGCTAAAATTAGGAGAGTGTAATTTGACTTAATTCAATCTGTAGTGCTCACACACTCACACATACATTTATCATGTCCTTTGCTAATTCATGATGTTGAAACTCCAATTCAATGTGCTCATGAATGGAAAAAAATCCAGTGAAAAATGTTATATCCTCATACTTTGAAATGATCAAAGGTAAAATGCCGTGATGTGTAAACATGCATACAAAGAAAAGCCGGGAATATTTTTGAAGTGATTGCTACTGGATTCGTGCTGTTGACTTGTTGCCTTACCTCCAGTAAATATCATGCATAAAGAAGAGTGTGCGTCCTGTTTTCACTATGTGCACAGCTGCATCAACGTCCTGCACCCAGACTGGAAATCCAAAGTGGCTGAGTGCTCTGGGCTTTCCCTTCACAAGAGAACCTTTCACTGTCCAGAACATGGCTTCTGTCAAAGGATAAAGATAGTTTTATGTCACAGGGTCTTTTCTAATTCGGTGACTATCAATATGAATCTACTATGAATTGTGGGTGTAGAATACTGGGACAATTAACAGTTTGACTGTGTATAAAAAAATGGGATTAGATGTGGCTATGGGCATGGAGTGAGATCAATGAAACCAGTGTTGCAGTTAAGTATTTAAAGTATTAAATATAGTTACCATGGATAAGGTAAGCAGTGGATCTTCGAGGTACCCAGAAGGCGGCATCGATGCGTGTTTCAATCTTGGGCATGAAGTTGGAGATTGGACCTTCTTTGATGTCATATTGCTCATTATGTTTAATCCAGAGATATCTTGTGGGAAATAATTGTCAGTTAGATCAAAAATATATTTTGATTATTGTATGTTGCAAATGGCATTAAAATTAAGATTTCTAAATGGACTCTGGTGTCAGACACAGCTAAAAAAAATAGGGGCCCAAAGTGAGAAATATACTTTTTATAACCTTATAAAGTTGTTAATAACTCCACATTCTACTCTATTAAAATGAGGATAACACATGCCTGGAGCTGTAGATGATAACACTTTTAAACGTCCTTCGAGCTCTTCAAATTAAAACTCATCAACATACCTTTCCCTGAAGAAGAAGGTGGCATCCCCGAGAGTGGACACTGCGTCAAAAGTCAGGTCTGGAGCACATCTGTTCTGCATGAGTCGAGGGAACAGTGATCCTGACATCCAGGGGTTGTTCTGAGAGCTCCAGTTGTACCTCGGCAAGTGATTCGGACGACCTCTGGCTGGGCCTAACATACATCAGCACACACTTATGTATCAGGTTCCACTTAGGAGGAAGCACAAAGGAGTAAAGATATGACTCTAATAGCTGTATCGGTTAGTATAGTATATCCATAGAGAGATGAATCAAAACTCTTTACTGTAAAGTGCGTTGATATTTGCTACATCTTCTCTTGATAATAGGTTGGCTGGACGGGAGGATCTGTAGGTCGGATACATCAGTGAGTCTGGGTTTCTGGAGTGCTTCAGGCCCAAAGCATGGCCAAATTCATGCGCAGCTACTACAAACAGATTGAAACCTACAATAACACAAAGAAAAAAATGTACTCAAATAAATATCTATACAGCTCCTTCAGTATGAATGCGGAGTGCCAGTGTGACTCAGTCCGGCACCTGTCTCTCCTGCTGTCCAGTGCTCATCGTCGTCAAAGTGAGTGTCACCTCCAGCGCCCAACCCTGGCCCGAAAGCATGAGCCAAGGTGCCTCCTGGTCCGTCGAATGGATACAAGTCACCGTGTTCTTCATTGCATAATCCAGGCCAAACATGAAATAGAAACCACAGAGAAAACCGTTTTCTCTCATGCCACTAGAAAATTACAGGGCTCCGTTCACCTCAACTCAAGGAGCCTGTCGTGTTCAGCAGCCAGTGCATGATGATGCTGCCATGGTTAGTTGCTGAAGTTCTCCACGTGCATATCCACTGCACTGTTATATTTACATAACACAGAGATCTCTGGATATCTTTCTTAACGTGAGCATGAGTCAAACTGCTCATTGCACTTTCGAGCATCTTCTGCCACGGTCCTTCATTAGACTAAAGACTGACCTTCATAAAACAAAAGACAAACCCACCATAGGTCACAAACTCCACCATGATGTCAGCGTTGCGGGTGTGTGACCTTACAAACGTCAGACTGCTGGCTCTGGCCCAGACGCTGAAAGCTGACTCAACCAGAGAGTCCACAGTGCTGCGAGGCAAATCCCTGGTGTACCTGCCAATGCTGCAAAGTATGTGTCATTTTGATGTTGATTAATATCAAGGTCAGAACACAGTATCCTCTTTGTAAATATAAATATAATGAAATGAGTGTATGGTTATACAGTCGTTTGTAAATCAACTCTTATATGACAATGGCTACGTTTCTTATTTTCTCTTTAATTATATATTTGTTCTGCATGTACATCCAGCAGACATGGCTAAATCAGAAATAGATACGGATGTTTGAGAGATTGTTACATAAATTCACGCACGTATGTAGAAACTGGCACTTTAAAAATCCCATAATAACTTTAGAGGCAGGAGTTCCAAACCCAAAATCTGTTAACCATAATGATTTGTGACAGTTGCTATTCCCCTTTTCTGCAAACAGTTTTATTGCCGGCTGGCTCAAATTGTTTCCCATGTATTTGGCAGGGTTAAGGGACAGCCAGTCTGTTTTTTTTTTTTTTTTACAAGTTCAGTCTGGGTCAGATATGTCTGTATCTTTCATACAAGCATATATCTTTCGGTGCTAATTCTATTGAATGTTAGTAGTAAAAAGAGTAATAACATCTTGATCATTAAACATCGTTAAAGGCCACATACACACCTGTAGGTGATGACATTCTTGTTCCACCGTGTCCCCTGGATGTGGCTGTACTCCTCCACATCTGGAACGCCACATCGAGGGCTCCCCATCACCTCCAGGGTGTCTGAGTCCAGCACACCTGTTGCATTAAGCCCAAAGAAAATCTGCATGTCTTTCACTTTGGAGGTGAAGGCGGGCCCACTCCGCTTCATGCGCCCAAAAGGCTCTTTTTCCAGGTTGTAGTACTGCTGAAGGTATTCCTGTCAGTAGATTCAAGGTCCATGTCAGATCTCATTTTGCACTAAAGAGCCAGGTAAATGAATTGGCCCTGCACAGCTCAGTTAATGGGAAGGTAGAAAGTTGTATTGTCCCTATGGATGAACTCCTTATTTTCAGCATGCATTATAGAAGATTATACGCATAACATCCATCAAACTGCTCATTATGTTCATTCATAACTTCTACATAAACCTACTAATCTACTGTCCTAGAGTGATCAGATTCACAGCATCAGCTGTAAATTGCACCCTCTACCATTACACCAAAAAATCCAATCACAACAATAATATGAATGAAGAAGTAGCAAGCAATTCCCATGCCGATTGTTTTCTCCAACAGTTCCTTCCAAAGAAAAACAAGAACAGATTTATGATAGAGATTTAAGATGAGGAAAGAGAAAATAAGGATGCTGAAAGAATCTGCAAAAGCATGCAATATAACAACTTTGAGGACTCAGAGGGCAGTGCACTCACTTACCTCCGCCCCCCACCCACACAAAAACAAAAGAAATAAAAACAATATCTCGACATCCCACCACACGAGAATGACCCCTTGCAATGCAGTTAAAGTGTTTCTACCACATTAGAAACATTTTAAAACAGGCAAGTCTTTGGCATTGTACAAGAGATTAAATCACGTGCAGTGAAATCTCAAACATTTGTAATGCAGCTCATGCAATTATGCACTTACTGTGGCCAGCTTCAAGTCAACCTGTGGTTCTGTGGAAGGAGAGCTCGTTCCCTCCGGAATAAATGTGGGCGCCGTAAAACATGGACGGGGCAATAGCAAGACCAAGACACAGACAGATAGCAGCATGACATGCATTTCACAGACTTAACACTACATGAATTGTAGTGGCCTAGTTTAAACACATGGAGATGGGAGTTCTGGTTAATGAGAAAGCCTTTTAAATGGTTATTGTGACTCATGCCACTTGCAAATCCAAGGAAAGCCTCAGACAGTACTATGGAATTAGGGAGGGGTTTGCAGACAGCCAAGGACAGCAAAAAAAAAAGAAAGAAAGAAAGAAAGCAGACAGAAGTGACATTTGAACAGTTCTTGTCACATGACATGCTTGCTCCAATGATGATTTAAATGACTGAGCTATATGGTTTCAATTTCTTATTTAAATTCAGTGCAAATCTCGAACTGAAATCAGTTGTTGGTTAATGTGATGTGAATAAGACATGTACTCTCTGAGTGCAAAGTGATGGCTCACAGATGATCCCAAACAAGTGTTGAAACTACTACTTGAAGCAAAATACGATGTATAAAAAGATTAATTCTGCAAAGATGTGCTCACTGCTGTCTCTATGAGTGTGATCGGCATGAATGTGGTGATATTTCCATGATTAAAAACCAAGCAGCTCTGATATTGAGGAAGTGATTTCTTCAGTCTCTGGAGGAACCTCAACTTCACTCCCTCCTGACTGATGCAACACAATGAGCTGGGTGGCACTTCTCAGTCCCACGCATTCTGAAGGCTCTCCCGAAATAACACCATCAAAGCCCATTCTTGTCCAGTTTTAGCAAACACATGCAGGACCTTTCAATGAGAGAGTTCACTGAAGGGGAGCCCGAAATTGCAGGGGTGGATTTAAGGCCTTCGAAAAAGAAGATGGCCGCCAGCCAGGATGCCTAGACTGGCAAGGGTGGTGCTGCGGTAAATTTGAGCTACAATTACGGTTGATTGGTCATTGTGGCACTTTATGGGAGCAACAGAATTCCTCTGCGGGGCAACATGAGCTGACTTTCCCAGTGCACGTTGCACTCTTGAAGAATTTGTGTCGCTCTGGTTTTATGGTGTGACTACAGACGTGGTAATGAAGTCATTTTAGGCAGTGGTGATGACTGAGAGTGAAGTTTGGCGCTCCGAGGTTACAAGCTTGAGGAGACCACTATATGGCAGGACATCCACACACACACACTTTCACACTGAAAAGGCACCGGAGATGTTACATATCAGAACAAGTAGATGAGATATCCGTATATATATCTGCAATATCTGTCCCGAAAAGCATCTTTTTCATAATGATGAGTATTGAAAAGCTTTGTCTGTGTTTTTCTAATTAATGCTGTACTTTAAGATACTGTACATCTTCAAAGTACAAAAAGGACTGAGTCAAAACGCAACACAACTTGCAATGCTTCACATATGAGTTTATCAATGATGCAAAACCAACGAGTACTGATTGTTTAACAATTGTAACCAGTAATAAATCTACTTCACTTCATAGTTCATTGTTGTTCACCTAGGGTGTAGGTTTGCATGTGGGTGGCAGGGACATTTGCCTACCAATGTTTTGGTGAGGACAGTGTGCAGAGTACAACTGTGTGTAGTTTTTATTTAAATGTAAATACCGGTCTTGGGTTAATAAACCATTCGGTCAGGTTCCTCGCAGAATCACACCAAGATCAGATAATGCTGCTATTATTTTGAAATGTACTTCATGTATGTTTTGCTTTAAAATTGCATATCCACAATTTAAAACAGACACTTAAACAATAAATCAAACAAAACTGAAACACATGATGGTGAATTTAGAGCCACTATGTGTAGAATTTGAAAATATCGGACTTTGGCTTCCCCTAGTGGCAGAATCATAAAGTCACTGTGGCAGACTGCAATGCAAAGTTTCACCTCCCTACTCTCCCCCTACGCACCAGACCTGAGATAAATGGAACAAAGCAACATTTTGATTTTTCAAGGAGTGTCTCCTTTTTCTACAAGCAAAAGCTAATTAAATAATTTAAGTGATGTTAAAACTGTGGTAAATTCTAGACTAGCTTTTGAAAAGCCAATTTATAATTCTACAGTTTATATTTTGGATGTAGGAATACTTTTCACAGCAGTAACCTAACTACATATTCAGTTATGACAATATGATAATGTTTGGTTCCTCAGAGCTTTCACAATAAGCCAGCAATGGCAAGTAAGACTTGACTCATTCTGTGGCAAAGCCATCTCACATGATGTTGAAGCAAAAAGCTAAATGGGGGTACCATCAACACAAAATGGTCTAATAGCAACAGATAAGACGATAGCAAAAAATTCTGTTGTGATCATTTCTTCTCTCTTTGTCTCTTTTCTTTTGAGGAAAACTAATAAAATGTCATTTTTGCAGCCTCTTCTGATGATGGACCAGAACCATCTGTGAGCTCCCACTCCAAAGAGTCTCTGCTGCCCTCCTGTGGCATTTCTCCGGTACGTCATTTCTAAATTCTGCTCAGTGGGTCTGATCTTACCTCGCAGCACTCACTGTGGTTTGAATCTTAGCAGTTGCTCAGCATTTTAATTGAAACCCTTTTTTGATATTTCATTTTTAATTAAAATACAGATTCAATTGTGTACTGTACCTTTTCTGATCTTGCTGGCACCCACGTAATCCAACCCCTCCCTTTACTGTGGGCATTAGCTGATTCATATTATGGCTCACTGGCCATGTTCATTGTCATTGCATCACATTACAATCACTTGGCAGATTTTGTCCAGAGAGACTGATGAGCAGCAGAGAAGCTGGTGGCAGGTGAAGCAAGGCTGGTAGATGTTGCACAGCATGCAGGTATAGCAGGATGAGGTTTATTCCCAAAGCACAGGAGATACAAGGTATAAAGTCAAAAAAGGCAATATAAGAAAAAGCAAAAATCTTGAATTAAACACACAATGAGGCCTTAATGTTTCTGCCACACTGATAGACTGAACGATCTGGTATGGATTGACTGGAGCAGCAGGGTTTAGTCACTGCATGCTAATGAAATGACGAGGAGCAGGTGAGCTGGCTGATACAGACAGGAGGAGGATTAGAGTGGATCACCATGCCCAGAGACACAAAAACATTAGAGAAACATTCAAGGAAAACACAAATATAACTTAACTCAACTCAAAAATATCAGACCACAAAAAAGCTGAATGTGAACAAGTTGGTTACAATACCTGCCCAAGTGTAAATCTGTTCAATGTGAGTTAGAATATTCTTAAATCTTACTTTCTGAATCATCTGCGTGTAAAAGAAATGTAAAGTAATTGGATTGGACTGGCTCTAAAAATCACCAAATTGTAAAAAAAAAAAAAAAAACTTGTAAAACTTGTACTGCCCCTGCCCCACCCACTGTGTTTGTTTAACTGTGGTCTGCGGGGAGATCCAGACACATGTTGCTGAGTTTTGCTGATGTGCGACAAAACCAAAGGCACTGTGTTGTATTTACCAATTGTTTTAACTGTTTAATGAATGGATCTTCTTTAGCGAAAGATGTGTTTAAGCATAAAGTAGCTGTTGGCTTTTCATATGGGTGTGACATCTGGTCTCCTGCTGCTCATACAGCACAATTAGCTTTCCACAAAACAATGAAACAGCCTGACCATGTCTGATTTTTCTCCCGACATTCCTCCCTGTCATCATCTAAACTGAAACACCTACAAAAAGTACCCCAAATTTTTTTTCTAATCCAGTGCTCATTCTAAAGTTGGGACGTATGAAGAATGAACTTGGCCTGAGAACCTAGACAACAAAGAAACATCCAGCTACTTCATATGGAAAATAATTAGATGGATGTTTTTGCACAGAGGAAGAAGAGGAAGGGTCACCTGGTTTAAGGCTCAGTCTGACTGTGTGTTCATATTTATAGTTGGTTTGTTGTATGTATAACTTTTTGCAGGGCTCCATGATCAATAAATACCAGGTCCTGTGTAAGATTAGGCTGATCTCAGTGTTGGCGACTGTCAATCATAATTTGACGTAGTTTGAGACATGGCACAGCTGCACCTTCACCAGCAGTTCATAAATAATCAAATACATTCAGCTATGAATTGCAAAAAGAACAACAGTGTAAACCAACTGAAAGAAACTAGTTCGTCCTGCATCAGCTTTTCACTGACACAGCGGGGAAGTGGTCACAGGTCATGTCTGTACAAACCCATAACACATCCCATGCCAAAGGTTTATGACCAACAGTGACAATTTAAAGAGTATATGAGTACTATCCCTGCCAAGTCACAAAAGCAGTGGGCTGGTCCATCACACCAGTTCCAAGCAGTGGAATTAACAATAACAAAATCTAACGGGCTTTGGGTTGGACATCACCAAAGTGCTGAGCTTTGTTGCCTTGCTTCTCGAGAAGCAAGGCAACAAACCACCAAGAAGCGTAGTCATGCCACTAAAGGCATCAGCCACTTCCCAGTTGTGTCAGAGAAAGGTCGATGTAGGATGATAAGGGACCAGAGAGAGGTTTATATTAACTCTATATTGAGATTTATTTTTTCCCCTTATCTCTCATAATTCTCTGTTGTCAACTTTCCATGACAGAGCTGCTCCTTAATGGCAAACCAAGGTTTTAGTATGTAATGTGTTCACACTGAAAGAGTGACTAAATAAGCTCTACTCCAGCCAGCTGTAGGCCTACAGCTGAGGCTGATGGATGCTGAGCTAGGCCTGGTGATGTAAAGCTGAGCATCACAAGTTGAATCTGATATCTCCTAAACACTTGCCACAGAGATGACTCTCTCGTTTTACAGGTTCGAGTCTTCACTACAATATAGATACAACGTGATTTTTAAGAACTGTAACTCTTTGCCCACAAGAAGTGGGTCACAGCACATATCAGTAGTGTCTATGTTTGCCAATATTTGTGTGTGTGTGTGTGTGTGTGTGTGTGTGTGTGTGTGTGTGTGTGCGTGTTTGTGTGTGTGTGTGTTTGTTGGTGAGCATTTTAAAATAACAGCAAAAATCCCCATAACTGTCAACTTCCCCGAGGCATGAGTCAGGATCACCCTGTTAACCACCGTCTACACAATGATGTTACTCCAAAAATATTTGTCTCCACAGGATACTGCAGTGTTTAGACACAAGTGTCTGTTACACAATACACATGATATCACTAATGGGCTGCAGATGAACACGACATCTGTGATGTTTGATTAGTACCCGTGTAATTCTGAACATCATTTACTATCTACAATAATTAACATCAAAAGGAAAGTGAGGGATCAATTTGACTTTTTAAATTGATCAGAGGGTAGTAAATGTTCCACACACACATATATATATATATATATATATATATATATATATGTATATATCCGCCACTACAACTATTGCTCCTTTATTATGAAATGTCACCGATGATTAGTGATCATGCCATGTATGAGATTTGGTCTTCTCTGGCAGCGCGGCAGCATAGTACCTACTGTAAATGCAAAACGTGACATACAGTGTCATACTTAGAAAAAAAAACATCAGCATTGCAGACACTTTCCAAAAGTATCTTGATAATGACTGGAATTGTGACACTGTTAAATCATTCTGTCAAATGTTTGCCATCACCTAATTGTCATCAGTGCAGCAATTTAAGTAGAACTGGATTCTTTGAATCTATAAAAGAGTGTTTCTGTATCTAAATATGTGAGCGATGCCTTTATCTGGATAACTTCTAGAGGTCATTGACCAGCCTCTTTTCACTATGTGGAATTCCACTGATGTTACAGGAGCTAATAATTATATACCATTGTTGTCTCACACAGACACTGATGGAGTAGAAGCAGTAATAGACGACATGTCTTTACCTGCCTTGTCTGCAGGGACCAACAGATACCTACACAGCTATGTGTAAAAACATCTTAACTGCTCGTGGCACCAGATGAGAAGTCAGAGAATTAGCACAAACATCATTAGGATTCATCCTCTGAGCAACATGAAAATCTGCACCTCATTTCAGGTCCAATAAATGAGATATTCCAGCCCGGATCAAAGTGGTGGACCGACCAACGGACAGACTTCACCTATAGGAGAAAAATCAACAATTTAAATGTTACTTTTATGATCAAACAGCTCTCTTACTATGTATCTTGTGATCTATGCGCTTCTATATATATAAACTCTGTGCTGTAATTAATCGTAATTCAGTTTGTCAGACAACAGTTCCCTATAACACCGGTACATCTGAATCACATATCACTGGAAATGGAAACATAGGAAAACACTTACAGTAAGTCAGGAGGAGCTGGTTTTAATTATTACCAAACAAAATGCATGCAGGGCATTTGTTTGCATGGAAACAATTCACTGTCTGTCTTTATGAGAGTGCTCACATTATGTTGAATACAGTCATATAATACAGTCATATGTAAATCTCATTACAAAAAAACATTTAACCTACATGTTTTCATCACCCCTTTCTTTATTTTGACGTGTGTTTGTTAGTCACGTATCCTAAAACGTCTTCACCTAAAATAAAAAGATACAGAATGACAATCATGAGACCAGCAGCAGTATAAAAGTATTCCAAAAATTCCCTACTTTTTAATAGTGGGGCATTTATTTATTTTTTTTTTTAAAGTGAAGAAGATGGACAGATAATAACTAATTATGTGACTTTGGGATGTATTCATCCCAAAGTATTTTCTGCCAAAAAAGGGAAGTCTCTGCCCACAGGAATGGCTTCACAGACTTTTTGCCTAATAAACATTTTCAGTAAATCTATTGGCAAACTCCTTGAGTCAAGGCAAATTGTGAAATGCTTTATCAAAGCATTTTTAAGTGGGTTCAAAGGGGTACACTCAAACCACAGTCACTGTAGTTTTACACATACCAGCACATTCTCCACAGGCAAAGGAGGAAGTGGCTAGGTGCTTTTACATGAATCACTGGGACCCTTTGAAAAAAAAAAAAAAAAAAAAAAAGGGGACCCAAAACACTATAAATACCCTTCAGAAGTTCTTGAAGCCAATGACTGGTTTGGACAACACAAAGACAACAACAATGATAGCCTTGCTGCTGCTGGCGCTGGTCGCTCACTCCTCTGCTGTCCCTCTGCCGTCTGGGGACAAAGACAACCAGAATTTAGCAGAGGTAAGATCTTCAGAATGGCCACTGTCTTAAAATGTGATGTTAAAAAATGCGATGTGGTCTTAATTTTTCATGCCCCTATGTGATTTAGTTGACAACATTTTATTCTCTTTCAAATAGAAATACCTCCGTCGCTTCTATGGTCTTCCAGCTGGTCTCCAAGGTAGACAGGGGGCATCAAGCCCCTTTGAGACCAAGATCAAGGAGATGCAGAGATTCTTCAAACTCAAGGTGAGATACAGAAAATATGTAATTATTACTTAGTTCTAGGTTTCAGGGCTGATCTTTTGTCAGTAGCTCACCACAGTCATGGTTTTGTTGGTTTTGTGGTTCACCCTTTGTGCAAGTGGGGAAATCTGCTTACCCTAAAACTGTATGTTTCTTTTGTGATTTTTGGAAAGCCTTTCCGTGGGAAAAATATACCTTAAAGTGCAAAAGGTTTACTACAATATATTAAAATTAACAAAACAATCAACCCATGATTTTCAAAGAAAACCACAGGCTAAGAATATGATGAGGACTAAATCCGCTAATAAAAACTCTTGACAATGTTGGCACTGTTTGTTACTAACCGTGGTAACACATATTTTCTTTCCACTTCCTCCGCCTCTGAAGGTGACTGGGAATCTGGATGACAACACTTTGGACCTGATGAAGCAGGCCAGATGTGGTGTCCCTGATATTGGGGAGTACAACCACTTCCCTCGACACCTGAAATGGCAAAATAACAATGTCACATTCAGGTACGCGTTAAAATGATAACTGTGGATATAGAAGGAGCTGAACTTTTCATATTCCCTTGCTTACCTTGACCTCTTTTCCCTCATGTTTCAGGATTTTGAATTATACACCAGATCTGAAGAAGTCTGATGTAGACAGAGCCATTCGCAATGCGCTGAACGTTTGGGCTGATGTCACCCCTCTGACCTTCAAGAAGCTGCATGTGGGCAACGCTGACATTATGATCAGCTTTGGATCAAAAGGTACGATAAACCTACAATTCTAAACCTTTATTCTGTTTGACATAAAAACATAATTGCTTGCTCTGAGGAGAAAGCATAATGGTGCAAATTCTTTCAAATTCTTTCAATATAGCAATTTTTTTGTCCTTGTATTCTGCAGAGCATGGCGACTACAACCCTTTTGACGGACCTGATGGTCTGCTGGCTCATGCCTACCCACCAGGGCAAGGCATCGGAGGAGACACCCACTTTGATGAGGACGAGCACTGGACCAAAGATTCATCCTGTGAGAATTATGCACAAATGCTTAATATAAGTCACTATATTGCAGTGTGATGATTACCACTGAACAATATTTTGATTGAAATTATTCTCTCTACAGCTTACAACCTGTTTGTAGTAGCAGCCCATGAGTTGGGCCACGCCCTCGGTATGTCCCACTCCTCAAACGCAGGTGCCCTGATGTACCCCGTCTACACATACACCACAGGCTACCCACTGTCTGAAGATGACATTGAAGGCATCCAAGCTCTCTATGGTGGGAAGACACATGATTTTGCGTTTTGATTAAGGATTAACTAGAAACTCAAGAACCGAAAGTCACGAGTCAAATCACAGCTATTAATACAATGCTTTTTAAAACATTTTCCTTATGTTTTTTTCATGAAAATATTATTGTGAACAGTGTATTAATGCTAGATGTTCTATCACAGGTCCGAACCCCAACCCAAGGAAAGTGAAGCCAAAGCCTGACGCACCAAACAAATGTGACCCAAGCTTGAGTTTTGATGCTGTCACAGAGCTCAGAGGGGAGACCATCATCTTCAAAGACAGGTAAGACCCGTGACGGTTCATACAAAAATGATACATAAACTAGGCCGGAAACCTATAATCACTTTCCACCATGGATTCTGGGACTTATCTCCTTTCTTCTGAGTCTCACCCTAAAAAAAAAGCTCTGTAAATGCACTATGAGATTGTAGATCTGTTTATTGTGCCATATTTTGTTAACACGCTGCACCTTGTTGCAGATTCTACTGGCGTATCCATCCTCAGATGGTGGAGCCTGAGCAGACACTGATCAAGTCCACATGGCCCTCCATCCCCAACAAGGTGGACGCCGCTTACGAGAACCCAGAGAAGGATATCGTCATCATATTCAGTGGTGGGTTATTAATGTTGCTGTCGTCCCATTGGATGTTCTATATGTGTTGTTATTTTATTCTATTTTGACTTTGGTCTCTGATCTGTGTTTCCTCAGGGATCCGAATGTGGGCTTTGAATGGGTATAACATTGTGGACGGTTACCCTAAGTACATACACAAACTTGGCCTTCCCAAGACTGTAAGGAAAGTAGATGCAGCTGTTTACATCAGAGACACAGGCAAAACTCTACTCTTCACCGAAGAGGATTATTGGAGGTACGCGGAAATGCATGCTACACATCTCAGTTATTTTAAAGTTTTAAAGTCTTTAATTCTGCACTACAGAGTATTCTTGGTGAACAAAGATCACCTGAGTGATTCTTGCCAGATGTAATGTTGTGTTTCATCAATATGTCTTGCTGTTATTTGTCGCCCACAGCTACGATGAAGCGACAGGAACCATGGACAGTGGTTACCCACGAACCATTGAGGAAGACTTTCCTGGAATGGATGATGAGGTTGACGCTGCTGCTTATCACTATGGTAACACGAAGCCTTTGATACCATATTTTCATGAATATTCAAAAGGAGGATTTTTTTTTTTCACAGCACTTACCCCCACTCTGCTCTCTTTCAGGATACTTGTATTTCTTCCATGAGCAATTGCAGTATGAATACAGTTACACCTCGAGGAAGGTCATGCGCATCCTGAGGACCAACTCAATCCTCAACTGCTGATGAGGTGGTCGCCGACTGGCAGCAAATGGCTTAGAAATATGTGTAATTATAGCTGGCTATATGACGAATGACAACAAAGTAAATATACACAAACATACAGAGGTGTAAAAATGAGACAATGGAAAATGCAGCCCGATGAATGAGCGGGGAAGTGGACACATGGATCAACATCAGAAAAATGTTTATTTTCACTAGTGCTGGACACATGTAGGTCATGAAATATGTTTGACACAGAATGCTGGAAAATTCTTCGTTTCTATAACTCCTTAGATTATTGCTATTTATTTTACAACTCTATATTTGCACAAGTTTCACTATGGACAGAAAGATCCTCAGCAAGTTAAGTTTCTTGTCAGTGACAGATGGCTTGGCTGGTCTGTGAGCTCATTATTTGACTTGTTATCACACTAATATATTAGTATTTCAACAAAGAGCTTAGCAGTTTAATATAAACTGAATTTGTCATTAGATTTTGTTTTGTAGATTAATGAAAGTAGAGTTGAGCCTAAAGCTCTACTAATGATGTCAGTGTTAAAGAGCTGTGTTGTTGTCACTAACTTTTGGTTGTTCCAAAGATAGCATTTAATTTATTTTCCTCAACACTGCAGAGCATATGCAATATTTTTATATATTGATTATGCCAAACATTACGCTGAACACTTTACAAGTGTGCACAAAACATCCACTTACTTAAACCTGATTTTTGTTTAAACATACTCCTTTTCATCTGATGTCATTTTAACACTGAAACATTTCTGTGAATTTCTGTGTCAGTATTTTCAAAAGTGTTGACAAATGATTTATTCAATAAAAATATGTGAAACTAAAGCAATGTGTGTGATTGATTTGGACAATGAAGCTGCCTGTGTACCTTACATATTTTGAACCAATATTGTATATTTTAAGTCAAACCTCTTGTTTGTTTGTCTGGGACGTCTGTAGTAGAATGTGTAGAATAGTAATATAATGTACTATATATTATGTAGTAAATATAGTGTAGTAAAGTACACACACAGGAAACTTTAAAACTCTGCGACTTGTAGTTACCTACCTTTTTCACTAGAGTGCACTCCTATCAACTGTTTGAGCACATAAAGGTCCTGACTGCTGAATTCATAGAAATCCTCACAGTAATTATGGAACAGGTTAAGTGACGTAATAGTACATACAGAACACATCATGAAAATATTCCACTGATCAGGTTTCAGTCTCTAAACCATTGAGTGTGCGGCTCCGTTCCTGAATTTGGGAAGAAAAAAAAATCAGTGTATGCTTCATTAGCACAACAAATGTTGGGGAAAATCTTTGGCTCTGGCCACATTAAATCTCAACATACCAGACATCAAACAGACTAAGCACTAATCATATTAATAAAGGGCCATTACACAGAATATCTTCGTCCACCAGCATCCTGTAACAGCTTAAGGCCAATTTATCTGAAAAGAAAGTATAAGGATATGTGGGATGTTTCATGAAAATTAAGAATTTGTGTACTGTGAGCAGCCTGGTTTTGAAAGGTCAGTAAAGTATCTCTAGCTGAAGTTTAGGAAACAGTGAAGCTTGAGCCAAGCAGCATAATCCACAGGCCCAATCATGTGGATGTAATTACAGTGCAGTGAAGCAGTCACCTCATTAGCTTATTTCCGAGGTACTGCGTGGTATGGGCTGTGTCACAAATTCTGTGTGTTCATCACTGATGTTGACTTTGAAAGTCTAAGCTCCAGTTTAGAGAAACACAGATGATTTATCTGGGAGTAAGATGCCTTCTACATTAGTCCTTTTTTCAATTAAAGTAAGATTATCAGGTCATTTGCATGTCTCAGAAATAATACAACACATTTTCTCTGCTTTCTATCCTTTGAATGTGTGAGTGTGAATTGTAATTTTGCAGAGAGCAACTGAAAAAGAGAAGGGAGACCTGATGAAGAAGTTTAAACAACAGGCTAACAGGCTCAGTTGAAACTCCAGTAACTTTACGGAGATGTTTGTGATGTTTAGAGATGCATGTTTGTTGCATGAGAGAAAGTTGAAGCTTTTTCTAATGAATGTTTAGTGCCAGGATAACTTCGTTTTTACTATGGACAGAAAGATCCTGAGCAAGGTAAGCTTCTGGTCAGTGACCGTTGGCTTGTTCGGTCTGTGAGCTCATTAGTTTAGCAATTTAACATAAACTGTATTTGTCTGTAGACCTTTGTAAATTAAGTGAATTGTTATCAATAAAAGAAGCGTGGAGAGTAAAGCTGTATTAATGATGTCAGTGTTAAAGAGCTGTAGCTCTTAGACTGCAGTCATATTTCAAGCTTTTCTAATAAATGTTTATTTTAGTGTCAGGATAACTTTGTCTTCTGTACGGGAAAGGTGAACAAGACAGTCTCTGGTCTGTAAACAGTTACTACTGGCATGCTCTTTCTCCTCAGTGGTTTTTGCAGAAATAGAGCAACTTTCAGTATTGACTTGACTTTTGACTTTTGTAGAGCACTGCAACTGAGAAACATAAAAAATTAAATTACTTTTAGCCTATGTGGATTTAGAGGTCATATTTTTTGGGGGGATTTTTGTTTTTTTAATCTTATTCCACTCATAGTCATGCACCTTTCCCTGTTCCTGTGACGGGCAGGAGTGCTTACCATAACCAACTCTTTCAACTCATTCAAAATGTAGCAAGGAGGATTTGAGCTCTTGCCAAATGCAAAGATCGTGAACCCTGAATTTTAATGTCTTTCCACCAGTTACAAGGTCGTGAGCTGATGCTGAGTTTGCTGACGTTTGAATTACAGTCAAGTCAGTGTTTCAGCTACATTACAGAGCATTCCCTGCTCTGTGAGCAGAAGAGTTTGATCCTTCAGCCAAGACTCAAGATACGGTGGGTGTGCATTGACTAATGAGTGCTCCTAGACTGGAGTGAGCTCCCCGAAGCTATAAAAAAATAACCATAATGTTTTTATCCAGCTCTTATTTTTCCTAATTTTTCTATTATGATTTTGTGTTTAATCACTTTATTTGCCCCCGTTTAAGCACAATGGCAGGTTGACGTTTATAAAAATGTGGAGCGAGTATAGACAGTTGAAACAGGTCAGTGAAAAATGGCACTGGAAAAAAGGTGGTATCCTTAGAGGAAAACCTTCACATGGTCCAGCCCAGCAGCTCCTGATGGAAACCAGATGGAGGAGAACGACAGAGAGGGCAGCAGAATCAGGATATATCCCCTTTTCCTCTGGGAAACTCCCTCCTCGGATCACCAATATGAGACGTGGTGAAGCAACACTGTTTCTACACTGATTATACTGAGTGTGAGCAGGCAGCAAGGTTTACGAAACACCAATTGAAAGCTGTCTTCCCTTCACCTATTTTGAGGAAAAGTTTAAATTGCTAATTTAAGTGGTGGATGGTGTTAGACTGCAGGTCAGATAGGAGTCTTGTTCACCTTGTTTTAAAGGTGCTGATGAATGTGCTTTTTGCTGTGTGCTCATGATAGTGGCAAATACCATCCTCCTGTATCTGTTCAGCTTATCTTCCACCTTAATCGCACTGATGCCTTCAGTGTGCTGGCTGCCTTGTCTCATCTGCCAGTTGCCATTCTTCCTCTCTTCCTCTTCCCAGAGCAGAATAGAAAAAACAAACTGAAGTTGTGGTGTTTATGCTTCACTGAAAAGGCACAGTCTCTGCTGGAATGTGGAGAAAATCAGGATCTGTTCAGTGTTGGCCTGTAAGTTTAGGTAAATCAGACCAGATATGACCCAGAGCACAGTCATAAAAGTGACTCAGTAGCTGATTTTATCTCTGTGGAGTGACAGCGACCCTTGCAGCAGCATTTTGAGATTAGATCATGTTTACGACATGTCACAACTTCAGCTATTTGATCCCAGAATTGCGGCTTTACCATTTAAAAACCACCTCATCTCATGAACTCAGTTGCACAAGCTTTAAACAAATATTGGCACTTTGTAAAGACAGGTAAGCAAGGCTTTCATTGAGAGCCTGATGGTTTGTTTATACTTTAAAAATATAATATCTATAATATAGATATTATATTTTTCCCCAAACTGTTATATGATAATGTCCCTATATGGATTTATTTTTATTGTGTTTTCACCTGACAACAGTGCTATTGACGTATTAATGCCCTGAATGCCCTCTGGCTTGTCGTGCCACCGTGACAATAGACACCAAGGCACTGTGTCAGCGTGCTGCCGCTCAGCACAGAGGTTTTTGTTTTTCAGACAAACAAAAGATCAGCTCAACTTGTCACAGTCCACAAAGATTTGCTTGTTTTTCCTGAGGGCCACTAAAAATCTGTTGAAGTTTGTACCACTGTATGGCATTGTTGTGCTTTCTGTAAACATATTAACAGAAACTTGCTTCTAAAAGCACAAATTATGGGTTTCACCGGGGACAAAAAGTAAAACCTTGCAGTGTTTGGAGCAATATGGGCTCATTGTTGAAGCAAAGTGTATTAGCTGCTTGGATAGCCTGATCCTCCAGAGGATCTATGCGGGAAGGTCAAATTACATTAGTTTGATAGTTGTTCAAGCAAGAACAGAGCACTTAATAAAGACACCCTGGTTCTGCTTGCCTGAATTAATTATACACAGTTCAAAGCTTCCGTCTGCTTTGAAGTAATTACGTCTCAGAGCCAGACCACTGCAGAGAAGCAAGTGATTACCTTTTGATTACTTCACCCACATGTCCCACACCACCGTAATGCAAACAGCACGCCTAAATTAAGTTGTTCTCAAAACTAAAGATTATGGGTGATGTTTAAAATCATCTCTCCGCTGCCGGTCTGTTTTGAAAAGCAACATAAGAACAAGAAAAACAGGAAGATAAAGTCAGTTTTTCTTCGGTAAACGCTGAGTCAAGTAATAAATCTTGTTGAATCTTGTTCAAACTTGGATTAATGTGAACTGCTGTTAGTTTAGAAGCAATAACACCACAAATATTTGCACATAACTCACACCTACAAATACTTATTTGTTTCTGATTTTTTGTTGTTTTTTTTTTCAGACATCAGCAACGTGACTGAAAACACGGCTCACTCACTCAAAGTTTCTGTTGACCCAGTTTCAACTTCATCTACAGAGAGCAACCTGAAAAAAGGTCTCTTGTTCTCATGATTACTGCCTCCGCTTCCAGTGACTGACGGATATTTAAAGGCACTATATTTGTGTGATGACTTTACTTCAAACCACAAAAACAAGCTTTTACATTGTCTGTTTTTTCTTCACTTTGAGGGGAAATGAACTTTCTTTTTTTTTTGTAGTGTCAAAAGTTAACCATACTCTAATTAAATGTCACTGCGCTGCATCGTGGGTTCATCAGGGTTTGTTTTTCTGCATCAAACTGAGATGTCAGCATTTCTTTCAACTGCTCTATCGATTTCCAGTGCTTTGAGAAACTTTTTCACCTTCGCTTGCTGTTAAAAATCAAAACAAGTGCCCTTGAACTTGTGGGTTTTCTCTGGTTAGAGTCTACAGAACCTCATTTTTCTCTAAGCCAGCTAGTCTATGATGTTTCATACAGATTGCATTGCAACACATTTGTGCTGTTTTTCAACACATCTGTGCTCGTCCCAGACTAGACAGAGGGACATTGTTAGGAGCAAACTGAAATGTAAATAGACATGTGACCTGATCTTCTTTCAGTGTAGCTTTCTGATGAAGTCCTTGTTCTGATTAACGCTGAAATTTCTGTCACATCTCATGTCCGTTAACATTTTATTTCACTTCAAACAATCTGAACTCAAGCTGGACTTTATGCTCATA